ATTTAAAAGTGCTAAAGAACCAAGTGGTGGTACTAGTGGGTTGACATACCACAAATTTGATGCTGGTAGTATTAGAAAAGCTTTGTCATTTATGGTGATTGTTGATGAACTTCCATTTAAGTTTGTTGAAGGTATAGGTTTTAGACATTTTTGTGGTGTAATAGAGCCTAGATTTAATGTTCCTTCTCGAATTACAGTAGCCAAAGATTGTTTTGAAACATATTTAACTGAAAAACGAAAGCTGAAAAATGTGTTAAAAAGGTGTAATTCAAGAGTTTCTTTAACCACTGATACATGGACCTCTATACAACAAATCAATTACATGTGCTTGACTGTCCACTTTATTGATAATAATTGGAAATTACACAAAAGAATTCTGAATTTTTGTCCTATTTCTAGTCATAAGGGTGATGATATTGGCAAAGAAATTGAAAAGTGTTTGCTTGATTGGGGGCTTGAAAATGTCATGTGCATAACAGTTGATAATGCTAGCTCAAATGATACTGCAATTGGGTATATGAGAAGGAAAATAAATGGGTGGAAAACTGGGGTTCTTAAGGGTCGTTTCCTTCACATGCGTTGTGTTGCACACATTGTCAATTTGGTTGTTTCTGATGGGTTGAAAACTGTTAATGAGTCGGTTCAACGTGTTAGGCATGCTGTTAGGTTTATCAAACAATCTCCTGCTAGGTTGCAAAGGTTTAAAAAATGTGTCTTAGATGAAAAAATCAACACAAAAAAGGGATTGTGCCTTGATGTGCCTACTAGGTGGAACTCCACCTATTTGATGTTGAATGCTGCTATTGAGCTTCAAGATGCTTTTGAGAGGTATTCTGGGGAAGACCCTCACTATGTAGTTGATTTGAATGAGAGGGATGGTAAGGGTAGCCCAGATTCTGATGATTGGAATAATGTAAGAAGACTTTCTGAATTTCTACAAGCCTTTTATGATCTGACCTTGCATGTCTCTGGCTCTTTATATGTCAGTTTGAATTTGTTTTTTCATGAATTGGTGAGTGTTGCTGTACTTATGAAAGATTTGGTTTCAAGTGATGATGTGGATATGTGTCTTATGGCTTGTAGAATGAAAGAAAAATATGAAAAGTATTGGGGTGATCCAGAAAAAATAAACCTCCTGATTTTTATTGCCGTTGTCCTTGATCCTCGTTATAAGCTTGATTATGTTGAGTGGATGATAACTGAAATTTATGACCCTATTGTTGCATCAAAGTTAGTTGATAATGTGAAGGTAGCTTTGAATGCTTTGTATGAGGAGTATCGTGTTTCTTCTGGTAATGATGTGAATAGGGAGGAAGTGTCTTCAAGTAAGGATGGAAAAACTCCATTGAGTCCCAAACATAAAAAGATTGAAGTCTTAAAGAGTAAGTATAAGAAACACAAGTGTGAGAGAGATGGAGATGCAAAAATAGAGTTAGACAAATATTTGGAGGAGGATACAGCGGAGGATATTGATGAATTTGACATTTTGAGCTGGTGGAAGTTCAATTGTTCAAGGTTTCCTACTGTGGGGAGAATTGCCCGTGATGTTCTTGTTGTCCCTGTTTCGACAGTAGCTTCTGAGAGTGCATTCAGCACTAGGGGCAGGGTTCTAGATCAGTTTAGGAGCTCATTAACTCCTCGAGTTGTAGAAGGTCTTGTTTGTGCTCAAAATTGGTTACGTGCTTCACCATTTCCAAGTATTGAAGAATGTTTAGAGGAAGTTGAGCTTCTTGAAGAGGGTAATATATAAGAACATCTAATCATAAGTTACTTATTTTCATTATGTGTATATATTTTAACTTGGTTATTTTTGTTATGAATTATGATAGACTTGAAGAATATGGCAGTTGGTGATGCTGATATTGATGAAGTGCTTGAAATAATAGACTGATGTGGCTCTTTGCTCATTGCCGACTTGCTGTTGCCACTTGCCAGACTTGCTACTGCCTTGCTCTATCACTGCTACTGCCTTAGTCTATGCTGCTGAGTGTTGACCTGCTTTTGCTGCTGACCTGCTGTTATGATGCTGCTGCTGCCCTGCTGCTTGTTGCTACTGCTGTTAAACAATTTTTTTACTGCCTTTTAGAACTTGGTCTATGCTGCTTGTTGCTACTACTGTTAAACAATTGTTAAAGTTGTAATGTTGAACAATTTTATTTTTTTTTGGATGAAGTGTTGAACTTTTAAAACTTTGAATTATAACTTTGAAGTTTTAGAACTTGTTAATGTTGTTTAAATCTCATTAAGCATTTATGCTACTACATATGTTGATGAATATAATATTTATATGATTTAAGCCCACAAAAATTGCAGATTAAAGCCCAAATAAACAAGGCCCAAAAAAATTCGGTTTGGTTCGGTTTTTTCTTTTGAAACCAAAATTTATATGGTTTGGTTTGGTTTGGTTTCAAAAGTAAAGTGGTGCGGTTTGGTTTCCAAAAACCAAAAACCGAATTAGGGTGGTTCGGTTTCGGTTTGGCCTATAAACCAAACCGAAAACCGAATTTTCACCCCTAGTTGGATCCTCTCAACAAATTCTGAAAAAAAGAAGTAATAGTACATTGGAAGAATAATATTTATGCTTAATTATTTGAAATCAGTGCCTTTCTTTGGTCAAGCCAGGTGCTTATTTGGTTATTCATGGCTTGGACAATAATACCCTCATCTTCCTTTTTTTTCCCCCCTATACTTTCCTTACAAAAATCACATTGAAACTATTTTTAGGGAGCACAAGTATCAATCATTTTTGTTTCAATTTATATTGTGTTTGTCTCGTTTGAAAAACTCTATTTAAAGATGAAGCTAATTGACCATGATTATTCACCGAATTTTAGCGAAATCATACACTCATGTACTCTCTTGTTGAATTTGTTTTGATGTGTAGTTTTAAAATATGAAATATGTGCATTTTAAATTTTATTGTGCTGCTAAGGCATTCACCTGATTTTCGCACATCTAAACTTATCAAGTCTTAATATAACTTATCTAAACTTAGTTTTTTTTTTTCTGAATTAGAGAATAGCACAATCCCACACTCCACGTCATTAATTTGTATGCATCGAGAAGAAACTCTTTGAACAACATCAATATCCTATTAAAGAAACTGATTTATTAATGATCAGTGAAAGTGACAACCCAAATATAGAAACGTGGAAATTCCTAACGAATAAAGATACAGGGTAGTAGTTAAATTTGCACACCAATTTATTAATAAGTATCTAAGACATATATTCTATAAAGTGGTACTCCTAGAATCTAATTATCAACATAGAATCAAATGCCACACCATATTCCAATTGGAGAATGTAACCATCTTTATATTGAACATTCTAACATGTTTACAAGACTTATAATTGCTAATTATTTCAAAGTGCATCAACATATTCCCCTCTTTTTCCTACAAGTTAGCATCTTTAACATTTGACTAATTCATAGTTTCATACCCAAGTTCTCCCTATTTAAACCACTCCAACAAAGAATAAGCAATTAAGCTTAGTATAACTCATAATAAGGTCATTTTTGACATTTTAAATAGAATAAAATAGGACCATTAGTCCACAAATAGTAGCAACGAATCCATTAAAAAGGCACGTTTAACTTGTAATTTTGCTCATATAAGAAAAAGTCAACATCATTGAGTCAAAATGAATGAAGTCCCCATATACTTCGTTCAACAGCCAAAACCCACCAACTTCTCCAATAGCCAAGGGCAAAATCTGTAAAAACACACTTCTCTCTTTTTAGGTCCTTATTATTAAAGCACATAGCTAATTAGAGTTTGAAAAACACTAGAGAAAAGGTAAGTCAAATCAAACTTATAATAATATTATGCACCAAATTGTCACAATATCCACCACTAAATTTATTTTACAAGAATTTGAAAGAATAAATCTTAGCTTTCCATTTTACTTTAAAACTTGAAATACTTTTAAATCATACATAAATTTTATACTCCGTATAGCTGTACACTTGTATGAGTGAAATATTTTTTATTTTTTTAATTGATTGTATTTATTATTATATTGTAAAAGTATTACACCATACATTGGACTGATTAGAGTGTTTACTACAGAGTAGTAAATCAAAAAGGGAATATAATATGGGAATTCCTATAATATGTAATTCAAGGATTTTAAGAAAAATATATTATACTATATATGTATTAATTCATGTTAACAAATTAATTATTTAACAAAAATAAGTAATTTGAAATATCAATAAACTATTATGAATATTCAGTTTAATTTTAATTTAAATACTAGTATTAATCGAGCTTAATACGAAATTACAAAATATGCTATTTGAAACCTATTCTATTTGACTTTACATGAATTTATATTGTATACTAGACTTATTTTATTTACATAAAATTAGTTAATATGAAGTATAAGTTGAACGGTCAAAAACCCTTATAAGAATGCCCGAACCAAACGCCCCCTAATTATTAACTACTTGTACAATGTACTAATTTAAATAAAAGTAAACGAGGACTACTAGTACTATACGGAGTACAATTATACATTCTTCAATCACTCGTAGTCTCCTAGATTTGACCCCCGCCAAAAAATAAAAAAAAAACAATAAAAATTATTTAACAAAATCAAAAAGGGCAAAATGGTCATTTTACAACGAGTATAAGTAACTATCGGTTCGCTTTCCAACACTACTTAGCGCAACCCCAGTCCCCCCTTCTCTCTCCTTTTTTCCCCTTCTCTTTCTCTCTCCAATTTTATTTTCATTTTCTCTCTCTTGAACATTTCGTCGAGCAGGTGGTGTACATCGCCGGAAAACCGCCTTTTAACGGCAAAACCAGACAAAACTAACTCACACCCACTTCAAAACGGCGAGTTTCAGATCGACCCACTTCATGAACGACGTCGTTTGAGCCTTCTGGGAGGTGGCAAAATGCGGAAGAAGGGGTTGTTCTTGTTATCGGGGTTTAAATAAATAATAAAAGGAAAATACAAGTATATAAATAAAGAGGAGAGAGAAAGAGAGGGATGGGAAAAGTGGGGTTTAGTTTAGCGGTGGGAATAGCGGTGGTGACGTGTGCGGTGGCGGCGGCGGTGGTCGGAAAAAGGGTAAGAAGTCGGAGAAAATGGAAGAGAGTTGTTGGTGTTTTGAAAGAATTAGAAGAAGCTTGTGGGACCCCTGTTAGTAGATTGAAGCAAGTTGTTGATGCTATGGCTGTTGAGATGCATGCTGGTTTAGCCTCTGAAGGTGGCTCTAAGCTCAAAATGTTGCTCACTTTTGTTGATAAACTCCCCATTGGGTATCAATCATACATTTTTAGTTTCAATCTTTGTTGTTTTAGATGAAATGTGTTGTTGATTTTATCTATTTTAAAGGGGTTGGCTGATGAATTTGATGGTTTGTTTGGATTCTTGATTGGGAATGTGGGAAAAAGATTGAATTTTGTTGGGGGTTATAAAAGTTTTTTTTCAAGGTAATTTGATGATTAATTGGGTTGGTTGATGGCATTATGAATTTTTGGATGTTTATGCTTTAATTTGTTGTTCACATTGCCAAACTTTTTCATATTTTTTTTAGGTAATAAGTTTTGACTTGTTATGAACATTGAATATTGGTAATGTGGGTGTTTGATCTAAATTAGTTAGATTTTAGCACCTGGGAAATGTAGTTGCTTTATGATGTATATGGGGTTGGTGAAGTCCAACTATAATTGTTATAAAAATGGGTGAAAAGAAATTTCCAAAATGTGATGTATTCTGTTTGTTCTCTGAGTTATAATGTACTATCTGTGGCCCTTTTTACTATACGTATTTCCTCTTGGTTGATACTATTGGGATGATACTCTGGTAGATTTCTAGCTTGTTCTCGCTAATGTTGATTGTTACAATGTGTTAACATGTAATGTGGCAATGTTTCATATTATATTTTCCAAAACCCGATTTTAAAGCCATGTTTGTAGTTAGTTTTATCAAACCAAATGCTTTTGTTGAACCATTGAAGTGAAGTTTCATATTTTAATTGCCGCTTGCTCTGAGCTGGCGGCATAGGCTATGGCCAAGTTTGTTCATAAGCGTGCTTGACGAGTATTTTTAAATAATTATATCATTTGGTTCTTTGCGGAATGAGCTATGCAAATAGCAATGTGTTGGCCGTTGTGTTTAGAGCATTGAATCATCATCATATGTTTAGACTTTAGAGCATTGTTAATGAGCTTGATAGCCTTTTTTTATTGGTATACTTTTTGGTTTTTAGTTTCAGTGCGCAGTTGTGTAATTTTTTTTATCGATTGTGGGGGACGGTAGCAGTCATATTTCTGTTGAATGTGTGGGTTTTTATCTCTGCAGCTGGCACAGTTGACAGCCTGTTGCCATTGAATGTGGACCTCACCATTGTAAAAGGGCAATATTGTAAAAGGGCAATATTGTCCTGAATACAGTGAATAGTTGTGCTGTTTTTCACACCCAAGTTTTTTCTTACTGTAATGTTTTGTTAATTAGATATTTAGATGTGATACCTTCATGAAGGTAAATTGTTGTGGACCTTGTAGATTTTTATTTTGTTTACAATGCCCGATTACTGGCTGAGTGGCTGCATACTATTTGGACAAAAAGTGTATACCTGTAATTGTCTTTTTGTTTCTGTCTTATACACTCAATTGATTACTAGCAATTTTTTCCTTAGGAGTGAGAAGGGAATATATTATGCACTAGATCTTGGAGGTACTAATTTTAGGGTCTTGCGGGTTCAGCTAGGAGGACGAAGATCTGGTATCGTCAGACAAGATGTTGAAAGGAAGCCAATCCCTGAGCATTTAATGACTAGCTCCAGTGAGGTTGCTCACTTTCTGTTTTGTACTGTCTTACGTGATTTGTTTTTTACGGGGCGTTTGGCATGTGGGAATGGGAATTTGGGGAATATAAAGTGGAAGTGGGAATGGGAATTGGTAAGTGGGAATTTATCAAATATTCCTATTTACTATTTTATCCTTGTTGTTTTTAAATCTCAAATTTGACAGGCATTACTAAATTAAGGGCAATTATGTCTTTTAAATAACTAGAGAATTCCCACCATTTTATTACCTAGGGGGTAGGTAATAAAATGGCGGGAATAGAGGTTAAATAATCCCAAGCTAATTCCCACTCCCTAATCTAATTCCCATCAAACAAACATGGGTTTATGGAGATTTGGGAATAATAATCCTATTCTCACCTCCTAATCCCGAATAACAAACATCCCCTTAGAGTTCAGCCGTATTTAGAAAATTGGACTGTTTTCATTGCAGGACCTGTTTGATTTCATAGCGACATCTCTGAAGGAATTTTTCGATCAAGAGAATGACAAGGATTCAGACATTTCTCCTGCCCCAAGAAGGGAACTTGGTTTTACCTTTTCTTTTCCTGTGAAGCAAACATCAGTCTCCTCTGGAATTTTGATGAAATGGACGAAAGGATTTTCCATTCAAGACATGGTCAGTGCTCAGTGTGTGATCGCTCAATGTTAGATTTTGTTACAGCCAGATTTTTTTTATAGATGGATTGATAGATTTTTGTAATTTTTCTTATTCTTTGTGCTATGTTTAGCTTGACTTACTAAATCACGTAAAGTACATTTAATATAAGGAGTCCTTTCCCCCCCCCCCCCCACCTGTTTATATGTATCAAATCTTACAGTATTTTGCCACCTTGGTAACTATAATGTGAATGTAAAAGCTTAAAGTTTGGTCGTTAACAATGGATATCTTTCCCTTTTTGTACTTTTTTGGTTAATGAATTTTTCTCTGATTTTTCTTACTGTTTGTAATTGTTTGTTTTTTCTCAGGTTGGGAATGATGTCTGTGAATTCTTGCATCAAGCAATGTCTAGACAGGGCCTAGATATGCATATTGCAGCCTTGGTAAGCTTATCTTTTATGGCTAATGTATTTGTCTATGGTGTAGGTTGGAGTTCTTTGTGGTCAGTCTTTAATCATCAAAGCTACTTATCGTTTAGAATATAGGTCTTCAACTTTCACACCATATGCTTCAGTGATGATGTTTTAAATTTACAATCCAAAAGTAAACCTTTACATGCTTGATATACTATCTAGCACATTACTCAAAATAGGTGATAGTTGTAGTTCTTCTTTCCTTGCCTGTGCAGTCTGTTAAGTGTTGATGGACTGCCATGCATTGTAGTCTCTGATAGAAGAGTATAATTTTTAATTTGTTGTTAAGCAGGTAAATGATACTGTGGGAACTTTGGCACTTGGACATTATAATGATGAGGACACTGTTGCTGCAGTGATCATCGGGACTGGAACAAATGCCTGTTATTTTGAGCGGGCAGATGCTATCATAAAGTCTCAAGGTTTTCCAACATCTTCTGGAGGCATGGTATCTTTCTTCAACCATTTTTGGCTAGCACCTATTGTGATAAACATTGTAAATTTATATGTACTTATGGTATATGTCTTGTATTGATCAGGTTGTTAATATGGAGTGGGGTAACTTTTGGTCGTCCCATTTACCAAGAACTTCTTATGACATCGAGTTAGATGCAGAGAGCCCTAATCCCAATGATCAGGTTGGCTTGATCACCATCATGAAATTGACTCTCAAGGAGTTTCTTACACTCTCTTCCAGGATAAGAATAGATTATGAAGGAATAATTGAATAATAGAAGTGTTTTCTTGCTGCAGGGTTTTGAGAAAATGATATCTGGAATGTATCTGGGTGAGATTGTGAGAAGAGTTATATTGAGGATGTCAAAGGAGTCTGATGTATTTGGACCTATTTCTTCAAACTTATGCAAAGCTTTTATCTTGAGGTATTATTTTACTGGTGACCTTTTAACAGCTTTTATGCTGCTTTACCCTCTTCCCGTTCTCCTCTTATTGGCATAATATTCATTTCAACTTTGACTTTGTGAAGTGCCAATAAAAAAATTTACGGCATCTGTTTAATGGCACGTGCCAAGATCCAGAATTCATTAATCCGCATAATTTTTCACTCTAAATTTGGCTAGCTGCCTTGATTACAAAATTGGAAACAGTTATTTAAGGCAAAATGCCCCTACAAAAAACAATGATATGAACTTTGGATTTTGATTTAAACCACTCTGTAAGCTGCATTGACGCACATTCGTCCATGTATTATTACTTGTTACATTATCTCATAAGTAAATCATCTCAGGACGCCTTTGATGTCGACAATGCATGAAGACGAATCTCCTGAACTGGAAGTAGTAGCAAGAATTTTGGATGAGGTTCTTGGGGTATGTCCTTCTGACTGTACTACAGCTGATTTCCCTACCAAACTTTGTAAGTTTAATTCTTACATCACTTGTCTACCTATTTTTACCTCTTTTCAGATTAGTGATGTGCCTTTAAAAGTCCGGAAACTCGTTGTGAACATATGTGACGTGGTAACCCGTCGAGCAGCCCGCCTTGCAGCTGCTGGTATCGTCGGTATACTAAAGAAAATTGGTCGAGATGGGAGTGGTGCGGTTGCTAGCAGCAGAGCCAAAGGCCCAAGCAGCAGCAATAGATTGAGGAGAACAGTGGTTGCAGTTGAAGGCGGCCTATATTCAAATTACAGAATGTTCAGAGAGTACTTGAATGATGCCGTGGCCGAGATTTTGGGGGAGGAACTCGCCCCTTACGTAATTCTGAAGGTAACTGAAGATGGGTCAGGCATCGGAGCTGCTCTTCTTGCAGCCACATACTCGTCACCTGAGACTGTTGATACGTAAAAAAAAAAAAAAAAAAAAAAAAAAAAAAAGGTTGCTTTGCCTTATACATATAATGTGTGCATATTATATATATTTACATAATATAAGTATAGGCCTTTTGTACAAAGATGTAGAATTCATTGGGGTCGGTCCATATGTATTCAGTATATATATGGTAGTATAAGGGCGGCTTTCGGGGTCTTGTGCAGCAGTTGATAGGGTGTTCTTTCTATCCATTCTTATTAGTATAGCAAAAGTGTAATATTTTGGTAAGAATAGTGCATTTGTTTTTGGTTTGTATTGTGTACATATAGGACAGGTTATCAATCTCATGGCCTCTCTTTCTCAAGCTCAATATTCTATGATTATCTGTATAAATTCCACTCTGTTATGATGGAAGTAGATATTTTTCTAGATTTCCCAAATGTCACTTTCCGTATAACGTTGGTTAGCTTCCTTCGTTGGTGATTTTCTATGATTCAACCTTTTCAATTAATAACTTTTGACCACTTTATTCTATAATACCATCTTTTGGTAAACTCTTAACATTTCTTACTTAAACATGTATTAAATCGAGTTTAAGAGGGTGATTTGAAGTAATTAACTCCGGAGTATTAACTTTAACAACAAAAAATGCGAACTTAAACAACAAAAAATGCCAAATTTTTCAAAATTGAACACATAAGTCAAACCCCTTCTTATATACTTTTAAAGATTGTATAAATTCAAGTACCAAAACCTTAGGGCTGAGGGTCATGGGGGCATTTGATGGGCTTGGGCTGTTAGTTTGTGTCTTTATTTCAACAATTAGTTGGACCGAAAATATATACTTCTACCACAGTTCAATTCTCTAATAACTATGACTACAATTTTTTCTTCATAAAAGTAGTAGTAAAATCTGAAACGCATTGTTAGTCTCGAGTCTTTATCTATATTTTCAAAATATATTGCTGATTAAAACTGTGTAATTTACAAATGCGCAACTCTAATTGTTGTCATTATTAAAGAATTATAAATCTTTAAGAAAAGTCCGGAGTATAACAATTGAAATTTCTTTCCATTAAAAAAAAAAGGTAAAGCAATTGACAATTGTTATAATAGTTGATTTTGTCTGAATTAATCCTTAATCTATCTACTAGGCACTAAGATTTACGTACATACCACATAAGTGAACATGAGAAGGATCTAATGTTACTTACGAATATACAAAATATGTATTCAGGTGTAACAAATGAGAACTTCAAAATAAAGGATTGAAATCTGATCATAGTTTTTGGAAATAATCGCCTCCAAACCTTATTTATTAAACTTATGAAATACTACATAAATCATAGATAAATATTCGTCAAATCTTTTAACATCCCCAGTTTTTTAAAAAGTACATGTTTTTATTAACTCCAACTTATCAAACTTGAGACTTTGATGTTGATGTTTTTTGCAAGGCAAGTCGATTGAGTTTATCCATTTATATAACGTTGCATCAAATTTTACACGTGATAGAGAGTTTCCCGACCTTCCAATCTATCATTGACTCCTCGGCAACACCACGTGTTTCCACAACGGAATTACACCTTGATAGTTATATTTTCCATTAACTGTTGTGATTTGTGAATAAAAGGGGTTGGTATCCAAAAATTTAAAGAAAACAACAAAACAACAACTCTTTCACTTACTAAAAACTAGCCGTTGGAAAAGGACGCGTATAATCACGCCGCTCAACTCTAACGTTCCAAAAACACATCAATATAATTAAAAAAAAAATTAATTTCTTTCTCAAACTTTTTCTTCATATTTTAATTTCAACATCACAGTGTTTATGACCCCAAATCAATCAATCTCTTCTTCTCAAACTCATCACTTCTCTCTATTTTCTCTCTCCTCCTTTCTCTCTCTACGAAGGAAGAAGAAGAAAGGAATTTCAAATTTCAATTCATTCAAGTTTCTTTCTCTTTCTTCATTCTTTATCTCTTTAAATGGCGGCGATGAACGGCGGTTACTCCGACAATACTCCGGCGGCAGATCCGGCGGGTCCTCCGGCGAAGCAGAACGTTGCTCCGGCTAAGACTGTTGATACTCAATCTGTTCTTAAAAGGTCTTTTCTTCTATTAATTCTTGTGTTAATTTAACATTTTTTCTGGGTTCTTGTAATTTGTAGTGCAATTACTTGGTTTGGCTGCGGAATTTCTATGATTCGATTAGTGCCCACTACTTGAAATTAGTTTATTTATCTGGGTTTTGATTGAATTAGATTAATTTTATCGATTTTGAAAATTGAAAATTAGGGTTTCGATTTAGGGTTTATAATTGAATAAGCTTCATCTTGTCGATCTAGTACAAAATTTTAGGGGTTTTTGATTTTTGTAAATTAGGGTTTTTAATTTTACTTTTACTAATTTTCTGACGATTTCTTTCCTTTTTTTTTTCTTGCGATTTTGAAACAGGTTGCAGTCTGAATTAATGTCTCTTATGGTACGTAAATCATAAAATTGCAAGAATACATTTTGCTAATTAGTGTAAATCATCTAAAATATAATTCTGAAAATCTTTAATTTTTGTTTTGTTTGAATCAGATGAGTGGTGATCCTGGAATCTCAGCGTTTCCTGAAGAAGACAATATATTCAACTGGAAAGGAACAATTCATGGAAGCAAAGAAACAGTATTTGAAGGCACAGAATATAAACTTTCTCTAAGTTTTCCTGCTGATTACCCATTTAAACCCCCTAAAGTCAAGTTTGAGACTGGTTGTTTCCACCCGAATGTTGATGTTTTTGGTAACATTTGCTTGGACATTCTTCAGGTACCTTCTGATTGTTGATTGTGCTTGATTATTGTTTCAATTTCGAGTCATCGGCCACCCTGAACCGCCAAACTAACCGTAAATTTATGAATTGTGTAGGATAAATGGTCATCTGCTTATGATGTGAGAACTATATTGCTATCCATCCAAAGTTTGCTTGGAGGTAATCATTAAATTCTCTTAAATTGGGAATTTTAATGCGTTTTTTATAATTTTAGTAGTGATTAATAAATTTCTGATTTTGGGATTGTAATTTCAGAGCCTAATACCAGCTCACCATTAAACACACAAGCAGCAGCTCTTTGGAGCAATCAAGAAGGTTGGTGGTGATTTTGGGTTGTTGATTATTTTAATACAAAATTAATACTATTAATAATTATCATAATAATTTTAGTTTTCCCTCCATCTCTAAATGGTTTTGCGGAACAACATTTAAAGACGGAGAGAGTATAATTTATCATAATAAAAGAAGTGGAGATTTTGACTGAATTTATGTTGGTATGATGCAGAGTATAGAAAAATGGTGGAAAAGCTTTACAACAAGCCAGCAGCATAGAGGAGTGTGTGGGGTGTTAGGTGATGAAAAGGTTGGGTGGTTTGGGAGCACAGTTTCTGATGATTTGTTAGGTTGAAAAGACAAAATTCTTTGTGTTTCAATCATTGTGCCAATCATTTGTTGTTACACAGAACCTTTTTATTTTAGTGGAATTTTTACATTTTTTTTGCCTAATAGTAATTAATTAATCTGTGTTTCTTTCCTTCTTTTGGTATCCAACGTACAAATAAATAAGTCACAATTCTTCAATTCTGTATCCAAGGATTAACATTGCGAAACATATTGTCAACAATCGTAATATGTTGGAAAAATGCTATGCTACGCGAGTATGCGGCTACGCCTTGCCATCAAAATAAAATTACTCTGTACTCGTAACAGTCGTAAGTAACAAGGGTGAGTATAGGCTTAGAAGAAAGTAAAGGCTTAGAAGACAAAGTTTTTAACAAATACGGAGTATAAGTTCCAAGTATGGGCCTAAATGAGATTAAAATAATGTTAAGTCATAATAACTTCAATTGTTGGGAGAAGAATTTACACACGAGGTCAAATGGGAGGAATCAACATATTATATACTACGTGTAAAAGTTAGTGAATTAGAAATGGGAATTATGAAAACAAATAAAATAAATTAAAAGAATATGGAGTTGATTATTTTAACTCAAATTTTCAAATTGGATCCAAACTAATCAGTCCCACATTAAATATCAGCCAAATTAAAATGTTTAAACAGTAAAGGCTTTCAGAGAATGTGTATGTTAACAAAGACTCATGAACCAATCACTAATATTCCAACAGACTAGTTAAAAAAGAAGAATTCTTGAGATATATCTGAAATTTAAGCTGATACAGATTTGTTTTTTTAATTGAAGACTTAAATTCAACAAACATAATGAGGCAAAAAGGGGGTTTAGAGACAAAGATGAGCCACTAGTATACAACATTGTGTGTGTGTAACTGTGTACTATCATCAAGATGCCCAAAAGGAATGTCTTGAACTGGGGCCATATTCTTGTTGTCACTATTGACGTTCTTGTTCTCATTGTCCAAGTTGAATCTCGAGCAAGCCTCACTTAAACCTGGCTATCATGATGTGAGCTGCCTCAAATTAAACTTCGCCAACTCTTTGTACTTCTCCACGACACCAATCAAGCACACAGTCTGGAAAAAGCAAGGTCGAATATAAGTTTTGCATGATTTAGTCTTGAGTTCTTGACAAACAAAAATCTAGAGGACGATTATGGATAAAACTAAAACAAATTATATATGCCAGCCAGTCAAAAACTCAAGACAACAACTTTCAGTACCTTGACAATTTGGACAATTATAGTCTTCTCTGGATTTTTGAGATCTACTTTATGTGGTTCAGGAACAGCTTTGGCAACCGCATCTATTATCTTCATCCTCTCGATGCCAGAATTGGCACGGGCATCATATTGAACAGCAAACTGAGGGAATACATCCAAAACAAATCAATTATCTGATCCACAAGAACACCGCCATAAAGTTGATGGAATCTAAGCACAACCAGATTCCAACTTTCTATCTCAGACAGATACAGGAGGTTTATTCCCATGTCAAAGTTCGTTTTGTACATTAAATGTCAATCACTCCATATTAAAAATAACACAATTTGTTTTCATAGAATTCACCAGAATATTGATTGAATAGTTGAAAACCAAGTGACACTATCATCAAACACATGAAAATTCAACATGCATAATTATGCCGAAAGAATAACTGACATCTGCCAGTACGTAGTGTGTTTGACTGTTTGTCAAGCACGTATGGGCAAGTACCTTAATAGGTGCTTCAGCGTTGACAGGGAAGTATTGTTCAATAACTGGCTTAATAGCTCTTGATATTTCCTCTTCAGATGCATAACATGAAAGTTCTACTGGTAGCACTCTCAGAAGAAACCTACAGAAATGAAACATCTTAGTGAAGTCCACAGCAAAGGTAGTACTCGTTTGTGAAGCAGTTAAATCAAGATGCTATATAAAGAAAAGCAGCTTGAACCTTGACATATGCTTCTTCGTAGCTGAAGCAGATTCCATCATATGCTGTACAAGTTCTCCAGGGCTAGGGTCTCCATCCCTCCTCCGCATAAGTACAAAGACAACACCATTACAGCCAGTATCAATCTTGGAGAAACGCCGCTGGTTCAACAAAACATTATTTACTTCAAATACTAGTACAACAGAAACACTCATTACAATGTATAATGTACCTTAACATGTTAGACTTCCACTCATCTTTTTCTGGCCTTTTAATTGGAGGGTGGGGGGCGGTGTTTTACGGATTGTCATATTAACTCACCTTGCTCTTATCTCCTAATTCCTTAAGCTCAGCTTCTATCAACTTATCAACAGATAGCTCTGCGGAATGATTTATGCTTTCTAACTTTTTGGTATCACTGCACTGTTTCTTTTTGATTGGTTCCTCATTCTCCTTGCTTTTGTCATCAGCTTGTTTATCAACTTCTTCACAACTACCAGCAACTTGTCCTGATCCAACCTCATGCAACTTATCATCCTTCTTAGCAGGATCAGTATTTTCTTCGAGGGTACTTCCATTGTTAGCCAGCACTTCTGCAACTTTTTCAGACTGATTCTCTGCTCCATTCTCGTCAACATCTTCTTCATTATCAGAAGAGTCAGAGTATGAAAACTTTATTTTTTTGTTTGCAGGTTTCTCTGGTAGCACTGTTATGTTAGCCTTTGAATCCTTGCCATCGATCAGCTCTTCTAAAATCTAAACAAAAACAAAATGATACTTTATAGGATTATCATAAAGACACACAGGAGGAAATAAACCAGAACAACAGGTCCAACTTCATGACAAAATAAGGGCCTTCACAGCCAAAGCATATAACATTTAAGATTTGAGTGTATAAGACACTCCAGTTACTTTGTTGTTTGATTTTTTTATGCATAAGTTCAAGCACAGAGAACAACAAGGAAGTAAGACTTGATAATGCTCAAGTATTGTACAGTATATGAGTGTTTATGTATGTGCCAATTAGGTCAGTATGAAACAGCTGCTTTGCAAGGATACTGTAATTTTGCTCCTGCACAATTCATGAGCTGTTGCCTGTTTAATAGTAAGACCATAACATTTTGGCAAATGACAAGCTCTCTTTAATTGTTTTCCTCTTCCCATCATCCGCCTTATGAAAAAAAAAGTTCTTGACCATTTGTGTAGCACGAGAAACAATAGTTCTTGGAAGCTGTATTACTAGGGAAAACTCATGCTGGAAAATTTTAGTACTAGAAAATGTAAAATAACTGAGTTTGGACCCTTCAAAGTTCAAGTCTTGATCAATAATAAAGATAAAAGAAAAGGTCCACTATAATCTCTTGATGCATGCTACAATTTCAAGCCTATACCCATGCCTAATTACCTAGACAGTAGATTGCATAGCTATGAAGTCTACGTTAAGAATGATGATACCTACCAAATATCACTTGAATTACTTTGTTGGTTTGTTCATGGATAATCTATTTTTCAGCAGTTACAAACTTTCTTCTATGTTTTTCCTCTTCATCATTTGTGCAACCTAAGAAACACTACTAGGTGTTGGAAGCTGTATTAGCAGGGAAAATGCATGCCGGAACTTTTTTATATAACAAAACATAAACTAACTTAGTTTGAACCCTTCAACCAATGCTAATAATAAGGGAAAAGGTCCACTCTAATCTCTTGATACAATCATACAACTTTAAACTAATACTCATGCTTAGGTAGCAGAGTCTACATTAAGCAGGTTCAGAACCCATATTCACTCAATATCTGTCGGAACCACTTGGTTTACAGATATTCAACCAGTAACCTTTTCTGCAATTTCCTTTCCTCCTTAGTTCTTATAAATTCCTTTCCATCAATTTCCTTTCCTCCTTAGTTCTTAAAAATTCAAATAAACCCAAAACATAATTTCCTCTCATCTTTTCTAAAGCCTAAAAGAACAATTAGCTCTTGGACACTACTCATATATTACTAGCTTAAACACTTCAAGTTCAAACCAACAACAAAGATCGGCGAAAAAGCCCAACTTTCGACAAGTACAAGGTCCACCTTAAACATTAAGCAAAGTTCAATGTTAATAAACCAGTTAATCTATATATTCAAACACAAATCACAATTTACTTCAAATCACCCACCACCCAACCAAGATTATCGAACCCCATCAATTAATCACATGAATTAAGCCTAAACGAACATAAAAATTTAAACTTGAATAATTAGGGTGCTAAAAATGACTTTATTCAATCAAAAAGAATTTTCTAAATCTATTAAAATAAATAAATACAAAAGCAAAAAGAATAAATAAACATACAGTATCAATGACATTGATAGCTTCCTGAGAAGCTTGGTGTTCCCTTCCACCATCACAGGTTATGAAGAAGCCTTGAATTCCTGGTCTTAATGGGCTTGGTCCCTTCTTCTTCACTGCTTTCTGGTAAACAAATTAAATTAAAAAAAAAAAAAAAGAAAAGTTCATTAAATTAATTATATAAATAAATATATAAAAATGAAGGAATAGAAATGGGAAAAAGGGGGATTTACGTTGTGAGGTAAGTAACAACGTTTGCGTTTTTTGGGGTCGTTGGTGTTTGCAGTTTTTGGTTGGTTTTCTGAAGCCATTGAAAAGAGGTTAGTGAAGCCGAAGAACTGAAAGAGGGTTTTGTTTTGGGACTTTTGTTTGAGAGAATTTACTTCAATTGGTTTTTACTAAACGCATCGGTTTGTTGTGATGATAGAGCAACTTTTGTGTTTGGGTTGTGTTCAATTTACTACGTAATCTGTATCTTGTTTGACTTTACCTGAAATACGAATTAAGTAGAAATAACTAAATAAGTACAGGTAAACTTTTTATTTGGGTATCACTGTATAGTGATAACTTTATTCTATTCTTAAAAGCAACACATTAGAATCTCAAAGCACCATAGCCAACGTTAGCACATTTTCGCTTGTTATGGGGCAAGTTGTTGAGGATTTGCTTGAAGTTACCCATAAAACAACTCTTACTGATATTGATTAGCTTTGCTGTTCGCATTAAGTGGATAACTGGATACTAAGAAATAACACTACTCGTACACAAATTCTTATATGTGGCTGGCCACACCGTGTGGCCAGCCATTATAGGGGTTACTTCGTTAGTGTAATAGGGGTTACTTGGTCATTGTTAAAGAGATTACTTCGTCAGTGTTATAGGATTTACTCGGTCAATATTACGAGGATTACTTGGTCAGTGTTATAAGGGTTACTTGATCAGTGTTATAGGGGTTACTTTGTTCTTTTACAAGTGGTCATACGATGTGGCCAGCCACACACAAGACGGGCTGCTACTCGTATTGATTCCAACAAAACTATTCATAATTGGCCTAAATAAAATAAATGCATTCGATCTAGTAATTCATAACAAACTATGCAATTACAAATTACCTTTGTATACCAAAGGAATCCCAAAAGAGGGATTACACGTGCCTAAATTAAATTTAACTCGACAAGTCGTTATTGACCGAGCAAACCGAAAAAATACAATTTGATAAGGCTGATAAACAAATTTATTGACTGGGGCTAGGGGTGTCCATTTGGTTTTCGGTTTGGATTTAGCCCAAATCCAATCCGATCCGAAATAAATTTCGGTTTTTAGTTTTCAAATCCAATCCGATCCGAATTCCTTACCAAATCCAATCCGAATTATAATTCGGTTATTTGGATCAAATCCGAAAATTTGAATTAAAATATGTTGCTAATTTTTTGGGTCTCATGCGATTATAAAAATAAAAATGCAATAATAAAAAATCAATTCATGAAAGTATAGTTGTACACGATTAATACAAGTATTGAAAACATAGGTTTACACGATTAATATTAATATAATCATAAACATAGTTTAACATGATTAATATTAACAACACTTACACTTTCATATTTATGTCATTTCGGTTTTTTGGATCCGAATAAGGTCAATCCGAAAATCTGAATTTCCAAAAAAAATTCAATCGGATCCAATTTAATGATCCGAATTGATATTTTGGTTTGGATTAGATTGGATTTCGATTTTTATCCGAATAATGGACACCCCTAATTGGGGCTGCCTCCGAGCAAACCAATCCTCACTTGTTGTGCCACTATCCAACTTCAACATGGTTCACTTCACTTGGGGCTCAAGGCTCAAACCGCTCAAGTAGTCAAGTCTCAAGTGCAACACTGAAGCAACGAGTCATAAAAAATTTTCTCTCTCCTCTCCTCACATTTGAATTTCAGTGGTTTGATTTCGCGCTAATTAACCATTGTTTTCTCTCTCCTACACTCCATTTTTTCCCCTCAAATTTTCTTCAATCAAGCTTCATCTTCGAATTCAAGGTTTCGCAGTTGCAGTTTATTCTCCTTTAATTTGTTTCAGCTTCCAATTTCTTCAATTGTTGCAATTAGGGTTTATGTTTCACTTAATCAAATTTTTAATTTTTTTTCTGGTAGTAATTTTACAATTAATAACCGAATTTGCATGTTGTTGTTTCTGCAGATGGAGGCGCTTTACATCAAACTCTACGAAAAGTACTCAAAACTCAAGGTTTTCCTCTCAATTTCTATCCTTCAGCTTCTTCATTTTTAGGGGTTTTTCCCCCAAATTGGGATATTTTACAGAATTATGAATTTATGCGGGGTTTTCGATGAATTTTTTCTCTTTCTAGCGAATATTTTTGATTAATTTATAGGGTTTCTGGGTTTAAATGATTGTCTATTTGGAATTTAGGTGGCAAAGGATCGTGAGTTGGATCAAGCTAATCAAGAACAAGAAGGGAAATTTATTGAGTTTATGTCTGGTATTCATTCTTTACTCTTTAATTTCACCACTCTATTAACGATTTGTGTAATTTTGCTGGAATTTCGTTCTCGTTAAAGTTTGATTTTTATTGCTTGTGGAGTTCAGTGCTAGATATTTAACTATAAAGTCTACATTTTGGATGATGGTGGTTACTTGTTCATGTTACCTCCATTTTAATTGTCATTGCAGCGGCGGAATCTCTAGTAAATCATTTGACCACTGAGAACAAGAGATTGTTAGAAACTATTGATGAATTACGGAGTGAAGTTGTGTCGCTGAGGTATCTATCGTTGCACTATTTGATGCGCCTAATTTGTTAAGCCTAATCATGACAGCCTTTTTTTTTTTTTTTTTTCCCGGGTTGCAGAACTGCTAAAGACCAGCAGTATGATGATTTCCAGCAACGCTTAATGGAGGAGAAACAAAAGAGTAAGTGTAATCTACTGCCAATTTTTCTGATAGTTGCGTTATGTTCTCGGATTATGCTATAGCATATTGGACGATAATCATGCCATATAGTGTAGACTGTAGAGGTTCATGGCTAGTTGCTGCTCATTCCATTGGGAATTTGATACTAAACATTGAAATTTGACATTAAAGGGTGCAAAAGGATACATTTGCACCCCCCCCCCCCCCCCGAAAAGGAACATAAGATAATTAGAAGTAGAAAAATGAAAGAAAAAGCAGTTTCGTTCCCCCCACTCCTTATCCCCTGAAACACCTATGTTTTGCTAAACGAGGGTAGGAATGCACCTTTGGTGGTAAAAAATGCTAAGTATGGGATTGGGGCAAAGCGCAACACCTAAGTGTGGGGTGTTGGGTGGTGATGCTGTTGCCAATGCCAACAACTCTTGGGGCCAAGGAACGACCATGTTGTAGGCATGGGGAATGTGCACAAGGACAATGCATAAAACACCTTATACTTAAAAAAAAAAACTATTTTTTGGCAATTGAGGGTAGCAGCTTGGCTTGCCTTAGTGCCAAAGCAAGGTATTGCAAGGCCAAGCTAAGACATCTTAGGACATGATGGCAAAGAGTGGATTAAGGCTTGAATGAGATGGTTTCGGGCACCAAGTATGCCTCTCGTGTTTCTTTGAGATCCTTCGAAAACACCTCGATGCATAATCTTGTCAGGTTAGAATTTGTTCTCTAAAAGCTAAAACCAAAGGCTATAATACGTGAAATCAGACCTATTTTAGAGGTTTTGAGACTCGACGTCAAAAAGTCTCGATATTGTAGGTGATTCATCCCAGGGTCATATAATATTGTTCGGAACCATATACGACTAGTATTCGGTCATATAAAGGTTCGTGGCGGCCTTGAGTCGACGAAAGAAGGCATAAGTTGTAAACGGTTAAATTAACTATTCAAAGGCGAAGTGGACGGTTTCAACCACCCAAATAGACTCCCGGGGTATCATGGGGCCTTGGGAAGCTCCCCGACAAGTTTTTATCCCCGGGTCCCAAAAAGTTAAAATTTGTCCAAAACTGAAGGCTATAATCCACGCTTTTGGACCAATTTCGGAGGTTTTGGGACCCGACGACGAAAATTTTAGGATGGTAGGGGATGCATCCCGAGGTCATATAATGTTGTTTGAAACCACGTATGACCAATAGTTGGTCGCATAAAGGCCCATGGTGGCCTTGAGTTATTTAAGTGAGGCGTTTATGTAAACGTCTTAATGACAGTTTAAAGGCAAGGTAGATGGTCCTAACCACCCAAATGGGCTCTTGGGGTGTCGTGGGGTCCATGGGTAGCACCTTGCCAATGCTTTTGTCTAGTTTGCAATATCACATCTGCTTTGAATTTTATCTCATGGTTAAGGGTGTGGAGGGTTCTCTCTAGGCGTGGTGCTTTTGTTGCATTGTTAGTTTTGACTCAAGTCTGACTCTTTGTCAAATGTATGCAGATCACGAGCTTTCTGCAGAGGTTGAGCAACTACACCAGTTACAGCAGGAGATTCCCAACTCTAGCAACCAAAATAACCAACATGAGGAGCAAAATATAAACAGTATTCAACGTAGCCCATCTGTATCTCGAGGGCTGGTGAATGAATCGCCAATGAGAATGACAAGGACACGTGCTAGACTTCTAATGGAAACTGAATCTGCCATAAATAGTGCATCAGCTGGTCTTCACGAGCCTTCAACCAAGAAAAAAAAGTTATCAGATCAATCTAAAGATGTTTCGAATGCATATGTGCAGGTACTTTTTGGGGCTATTCTTGAGCCTAGGATTATTGATATAATTTACTGATTGTTCTGTGTGTGAACATGCAGCCAGAGTGTTGTCGAAGCAACATTGACAATGAAGGTACGTCTATGGAGTTATCCCACCAATCAACTTGAGAATATTATTGTATGCCTGCTAAATTCTTGTTAACTAACAAGTTTACTTTTCAATACTCTGTACTATTTCCGAAACAGGTCCTTGTAAATGCCTATTTCAAAATTTTGTCGAGTGCCTGACTGGCATGAAAGTTTCTGTTGCAAATCAGCCTGAGGGAAGGTGTTTACATGCAGTTCATCAGTCCAGTGGTAATTCATTGTTGATCATCTTTTGGCATGGATGGAGAGATTGTTGCTGACAAGCAGCTCCCATCCTCATGACATATATGCTTAATGTTTGGAGTTCTGTGTTAAGTTTGAAGTGTCACTATCTCTTTCACCTGTACACTACATTTTTACCTTAAATTTTCTGTCTTCACTCTCTTTCTGAAGTATAATTTATTATTCCATTTCTCATACAATAACCTATACTACCTTAAATAAGTTTATATTTACGGAGATCTCTTTAGCCTATAACTTCCACATAGATTTCATATGAGCCTTTTGTTCTGTATTGAACCATGCCCCTGTTCCAGGTTTTTTTTTATTTTTTTATTTTAGTATCAGTGTTATTATAGGAACACCAACACACATGCTTATATACATGCACAGATGCACTTCCTTCATGGACATTCTTTAGTGGAAATGATGTTAGGTGTTACTGATTTCTCATTGCTTGGAGGATCTTTTATTTCTATGGACACAAGCTAGTCCATGGACTGTTGCTGTTTTCCGCATAGGTGCATGTATGTTATATGATAAAATTTACCTTTGCAATTAATTAGGCGAAATTAGAAACTTAAATTTGTCTATTTTGGCTTATTGCAGGTTATTCATTTACTTTGACATGGGTGAATAAGGCTGCCCCAACTGGAGAGTTATTGTATCATGTTTCCTCCCTAGGGACATTTGCTAATGTGGCTCCGGAGTGGATGCAAGAAGTTATCATCTTCAGCACAAGCATGTGCCCCATTTTCTTTGAGAGGATATCTCGTGTTATCAAATGTCGCTAGCTCTTGGCTTCTTGTGCTGCCACAGGGTCGTTTTGGTACAGCACCTTTGATCCAATGACTGAAATTCGAGATTTATTGGTGCATTAGTGATGGATATACTAGCACTTGTCCCTCCTTATCTAATAGTTCTGGTAGCATCCTAAATTGTTCATTATATGTGATGTAGTAAACGTTGCGAATTTTCAGATAGTTTCTCACCTAGAAAAGCTACTTTTGTAAGTTATAGTTTTTAATCTAATTCCTTTTACAGCGTTGTGTACCTGTGTGTATTACTTTATTTATGTCATTGCTTTAAAACCTCAAGATTTCTTTATCATAGATTAGCATGAACGATCTAGTTCAAAAGGCAAAACCTGAGACATGTTCAGAATTGAATACACAACTTTTTGCGCTTTCAGGGGGTGCCTAGAGGTTGCTGCAGACAGTGATTGAAAACTGTTCGATTTCAGTAATGTGATGCTGACTTTTGAGTGAACTTTAAGTTTAATTTGAGATTTCTAAGTGAGGAATTTGAATTGCCCAAATCATGTCACAGTAAGAGTAATCACAGATTCACAGATGATCTGGATCTGAGTCTGCAGTCAGAATGTGCAATTTTTATCACTTTGCTTTTATTTATATTCCCATCACTTTGCATTTAGATTGCAAGAAGATACGTAGTATGTAGTTTAGATTGCGTCCTCACGATGTTTGTTCAGGCACAGACTTTTGGTTATTTCTGTAGGTCAATTATCGGTCCAATTTTTGTATGAACTCTCAGTTTGCTATATTTTGGACTGATGATCAACCTTGAGCTTAAATTATTGGGTGTCACTTGGGAATAAGAATGCCTTACAATACAACGGTACAATCTCACTTCCGACATCGGGTCAAGATCTATTAACATGATTTTATCAAGATCTACAAAATGTCATGTTGAAAATACATTTGCTTTCGATATTGACAACTTGACCTATGTATGTAATCACGAGTTTTTTAAGTCTGACAAGGCTTCCTTGGTTGTTGCTGAGATTACAGCATCAGAAGCATTAGGCAGATAATAGTATTTTCCTGCATAAAATTTTGAAATTTGAATCATATCAGAGAAAGCACAAGCAATTTAGAAAGAAATCTGTTCATGTAAACCATACCCTGAGCTACTCTGGCTATCTCTTTGGCAAAGCCGGTGGATACAAATTTGTTCTCTGTGTCAATGACAAGCAGTGACATTCCTGATTTGTAAATTTTACCAGCCACTTCAAGAATCTCTTCCTAATAGGGAGCACAACCATGAAACATCAATAATTTTCAGGACATAAAAGATAAATTGCAGAAAGGCTGATAGACAAGGTGATATGTTCAATGATCGACAGTTTAGCAATCATTAAAAAAAAAAAAAAAAAAAAAGAAAAAAGACTACTAATGTCCAGGAGGTGTAAAGTATAAATTACCTTTAACTCTTTTGATGAAGGCCGAGGGGTATCTGAAGATGCTGCTTCTGGGTCTGTAGATCTTTTTAGTGATATGTTTGCTCTACCATCAGTTATAGCAACAATCATGATGCGGCCAACATCTCCACTTTTTTCTGCATTCATCCCGACCCTCACAGCCTAAGCATATGTAGAGAAGGATTCAGAAAGGATTTGCAGCATTGTAGCTTGAGTACAGCAAATTGAATTCAAATATTGACACACATTAAGGCACAGCATAGGTAGTGCAAAAGTACTGACCATTGTAAGACCATGAGCTAGAGGAGAACCTCCACCACATGGAAGTTTCTCAAGACGTTTTCTTGCCATTGAAATTGATCTGGAAGGAGGTAGGAGAACTTCTGCAGAGTCCCCGCGAAATGGAATGATAGAAACCTAAGTAACAATGCGAAAACATCAACATAGGGAACCTCCTTAAAATTACAAAAAGAAATCTAGAAGAAAATATAGTGCCTTTGTTTGACAAGTTGAAATATATAAATAGAAAGTTTCTTAGTCTGTCCCCATGTCAGATAGAAGAGAGATTGTGTAGACTGTAAGAAACTGCACAACTACAAGTATCTGGCAGAGTGGCAGTACAATGGAATCTTAGGAGGTTTTTGGCCTTTTTGCTGAACTGACTACATAATATCAAATTTAAAGGCAAATTTTTAACAAGAAGAAAGACAATATCAACATTCGAAATTTCAAACCACAATCACGTCCTAACATCAAGTTCGAACATCGCTAATGATGATGTGACAAGGTTGAGCCCCCTGAGCATCATCCCACTGGACAAGTAGTCAGCAATTTTCTGAAAGATTGATTTAAGATGTAAAATTTTGAAACCTTGCATTCAAAAAAAGTCTACATGTTGGAATCATCAGAAATAGGAAGGCAAAACTGGATACTGGAAAAGGAAGAGAAGGGGGGGGGGGGGGATGTAAAGATTCATCCTCAAGTTCTCAACCATTGATAACTGACTTGTGCCAACCAGCATGGGACATGTTGAAGTGCACACATAAGCCCACAAAGCTGCTATCAATCATCCCTTGAGAATATATGGAAACACGACAGATTACATCATATAGAAATGGCATGCCTAGCCACAACATAGCATGCAGTGGATTAGCAGAGGAAGTTATCCATACGCTATGTTTGGTAGGAAATATGCAAACCTTTGCAAATTTCATCCAGAATAACATCATGTTGGTTGTATTAGTTAAGTTAGAATCACCTGATCTCTACTTGTATAGCTTTCAGCCAACAACTTGAGTGCTGCACCTTTTGCATTCTGCATACGGTTTAATGCCATGCTCCCACTAGCATCAACCACAAATATAACCTGTCATCAAATAATTATTAAGCCAATGAAATACAGTAGTAAAAGTAATGCCTTTTCTCTATGTATTTCTCAAGATTGTAAAATCATTATTTTGCTATGATATTAGGGTTAAGCTCTGAAAAGTATGTGTTCTAGTGTTTTGAAGGCTTGGGGAAGTAATGCAATCAAAAGTATAAAAAATAAAAATGACAAATATAGAGAGGTATTAAAGCCGGCAGTGAATACCAGAGCTCCTGCTTTTCTAGCCATTCTTTTTGCTCTCATGTCTGTTTTTTCCACAAAAACTTTCCTTTCCTTGAGCAAATCCTTCTCCTTCCTCAGTTTTTGATACGGAGCAGCAGCTCTAAGGGTTGCATCCACGGCTAATCTCCTGACAGGACCCTGTTCAGAATAAGTTTTGTTTAGTGGAAATAGAAGAATGGTGGGGCTTACAGTATATCAGAGGCAGCTAACAGGATAATCAAAGAATAAAAAAAGTGTCAGATTCTGGTTCGAAGTCTTCTGATGCAAATAAACCTATCCAGCCTTATGCAATGAAAGAATAATTGGGAATCCTATTTAATCTTTTAATCAGTCTTTTCTGGGTGGGTAGGTTAAAATCAATGGAATCATTGGTTTATTGTAGATATTTAGGATATAATAAAGCGTTAGAAAAGTAGACTAGCTTAAGATGAACTAGAAACCTTTGGAAGCATTGGCTTAATGTAGCGGCCTCGGTCCTCTGAAAATATGACATTCTTTGCTCTCCCAGCCTTCCCTTTACGTCTCTGAGCTTGTTGAGCAAAGAAAAGAAGTTTCTCATCCACCAAACCTCCCTCTGCGTCAAAGATAAATTCTTCGGGTAACTGATCCTGTTGTTCGTTCTCCTCATCATTTTCATCATTCTCATCCTGCAACACATCAAGTAAATGTCACTCTAGAAACAAGCCACAAGTCAATAAACAAGCAGGAACTAGAACTTAGAAAGGGGGAAAAAGGAACCTCTTGGTCTTCTTCCTCATTCTGCTCCTCAGATGAATCCTGATTCTGTTGAGGTGGTGGTGGTGGTGGTGGCTGCTGCTGATTTTGATCTTCTGGAGGCCTTTCCTGAATTATTGAACGAGGAAGAATTACCAGTTCAACCTGAAATGAAACAATATAATAGTTTTTTAAAAACTAGTTGTGTGCTTCAAGACGTCATCATATCATTTACCAATCCACATTCCAAATGACAATGAAGATGTCCACAACTACACTTGACAAAATGTTCAAATCTAAGAGAAACTACCAAGCTACATATGATTTTTAAGCATAATGTTATCACATTTTGGGATGACCCCGAGGAAAGTTTGGCTTCACAATTTCACAAAAGCACTAAGAAAATCCAGAAAGAATTAAGGTTTACTTGAACGATACTTAACAGCTTTCTTCAGATCATCCACGCTAACTTTTTCACGTCCTTCAAAAGCAGCCAGGCATTTAGCAACACGCATAGCATACAACTCAGCTCTGTGGCCCTGCAAATGAATGATACGCTTGTAGAAGCTCATATTAATTTGAAATTATGCCAAGATGATCAAATGAGAGTCCAGTTTTTAGAACCTGGCAACCACCTCGCATTGCTTCCATGACCAAGTATTTTAGTTGCTCCCTGCTAATAGTAACATCTTTCAAGTACTCACGTGCCAAAATGATCTGCGATATATTCCAATAGACAAAGAATTAAACATACATTCGGGAATCCAGGTCCCAAACAAGGACAAAGCCTTTCACAACAGCTGTTTGGAGAGTCTCAACACTATTTATAATATGCAGCTTTGATGGTCTGATATGTGCATTTAACAGTGCCTGAGAGGAAGTTTTTTGTTTGGAATGGGGGGGGGGGGGTGATGGGATGATGCATAGCCTGAGGAAATGTAACATAGGAAGTATTTTGTTTGGGTAATGGGGCATTGTGAGGTGGCTGCATATCTTTGGAATAAATTGGATATGATGGTGATAAATTGGGTTATTTGTCTCTTGTTCTCCTATGTCTACAGGCCTTTTGTACAAGTTTTGGAAGGAATATGGAGAGGACATTTCTATGGGGTTTAGGCTGACTGTTCTTCCATTCTTTTATATAGAGAAGTGTACCTTTCTTTACTTTACTGCTACTCTATGGGAATTTCCAGGGTTGCTAGAGAAAAAGCATGACTGGCATGCTAAATTTTATCATTGACTACTTTATAGGACACCTTATTCTTGGTTGTTGTTGTCACTTTCGCAAATGAGTAACTATACCAAGTCCAGTACAAGATACCGCTGTCTGGAATGAGTTCATAAATATGTATATTATCACAAGGCTTCCTCACTAGGTACATAAAAAATTCCCCTCCGTGAAGAAGGGACTTCATTTCATGGTTACAGAGAAGTGAAAATCAGAAAAAGCTCAACAAACCTGCTAAAAGAAGTGCCAGCTATAAGTTGGCATGCTTACAAGTTAGTAGGTAAAATCCAACTTGATTGTTACTTTATTACCTGTGTTTTAGCTAATTCTGTTTCCTCTTCAACCATTTTAAATACTTCATTTATTTGTTCCTGAAACTGTGTTGCAATTCCAACAGCTGCAACACGGTCATCAAAACTCATTGGAAGATCTGCACTGCAGAAGGATTAGACATCAATGTAGGATGCAAAAAATCAAAGAAAGAGCAAGCCTACATGATGTGCTGTTGACGTACAGCCTGTATCTTGTACTTCGTAACAGATATTTACAAGAAAGGGGAGGGGCAGATCGAAGCAATACCAACTCATAAAAACCCAATAATGCATATTCAAGGAACCTAGAATACAATACCTCAAATTAATAGCTACACGATCCAACAAATGCTCACGTACAGCACCCTCTTCTGGGTTATAGGTGGCAATCAACAAGGGCTTGCATGGGTGACGAAAACTGATTCCTTCTCTTTCAACAATATTGACACCCTCAGTCAAAACATTCAGGAGCAAGTTACTGATCCCTTCGTCCAGAAGGTTTATCTCATCAATATATAGGACACCTCTATGAGCTTCAGCCAGAAGTCCAGGCTGGAAAACAGTAGTTCCTGTTTTCACAGATTCCTCAACATCAACAGACCCAATAAGTCTATCCTCCGTAACACCAAGAGGAATCTGCAAAGTGTAGAACCAGTAAGTGGATGAAGGTAAAGAACACAAAGGTAAATATACAAGGATGTTAAATGTTTTATGTACAGTACCTGTACAAATGGAGATTTTACAACTTTGGTCTTTATGTTGCCAGATGAGTCATATTCAAGACGATCAGTCAATCCATCTTCCCACCTTCACCATATGCACTAAATTAAATGATTAAGCAAGCAAACTAAATGCACACCAAACAAAGTATGACTGATAAATGAAGAAGGACAGCGCTACACCCATATGTTACTAGCTTTTGCTCGTTAATAAACTAATAGAATTCAGTTTAGTAGCAGAAAGTGTTGAGAGTAAGACAAAAGCATGTAAAATTAAGCTTCATCAGCAGAACATTACATAGATGTCATGAAGAACATGTTCAATGGGAGAGAAATTGAAAATTAAGGGTTTATACTTCATATAATGCAATTTCAGATGAGCCCACAAAAAAAAAAAAAACCACTCAAAATATATGGAGTAACCTTACTCTTCTGGATTGGATGGATCAGCATTTGAAATGGAACCCACAACTACATCAATAGGTGGGAGAATGGCATGTAAACCACGTGCCATAATTGTTTTGGCTGTCCCTCGCTTTCCTGATATGCCTATCCCTCCTATTTCACGATCGATAGCTCCAAGCAAAAGTGCAGTTTTAATAGCATCCTGCGATTAGATGAACAACTTTTAAGAGAAAATCAAGAGGTTACAAGTAAGAACTGGTCATACATATAATGTTCCACAAGACTAGTCACGATATGCTTGCAGTTTTAGTGGTACGCTCTGTAATACATCAACAAAATATTTTAGCTCACATTTCAAATCACATGTCCAATCACTCATTCATATAAAAATCCAAATACCACATCTATTTACTGATCAACAAGAAGTTCTTAAACAATGACATCCACTCTTTAGTTTTAACTGCAAGTCTTCTGTTCCTCAAACCCCAAAAAGGTTGTGAAGCAATTGATTCACCAGGTCCTTTCAATGTCGGTGAAAGATATCGTACTAGGATAAGGTATAGACAAAATTAAGACGGATTTCTAGGTACTTTATTACTTGCAGTCAAACATATGACATACTTCCAAGAATGTTGCTCCCTCCCTCCATTGCTAAAAGAATGCAACCAAGGTGAGCTTCTTGGTTTACCAACCATTAATTTCTTAAACCAGGAAGTAACTAGACGACATAACTCAATAAGGTAACCTGCATCACTATAGTAACTTGATCAAGCCAGTAGAGAAATAAACCAGTTGTCCCATAGAGTCTAATCAATCCATAGGGATATATAATTGGCTCCCAATAATAGCCGGATTAGTTTTATTGTCAGTCTTGAAGATGATAGTATAATCACCTCGATATAGAAAATCACCTTCTGCCTCCACCAGATTCAAGGCCTCTCCTCCTTATTTCTCACAAGAAGACGACGACATAATGCAAAAATGAACTACACTAAGCTGCCCACAGCCCGACTCGATCTACAATCATCTTCAGCTAGATGTGTATTTCAGTAAACAAAATCTTCTACAATAAGCAAAATGTGGTAATTCTACATCAAGCCGCCCATGGCCCGACTCAATATACATCATCCTCAGTATGCCCATAGAACCTAATCTCCTCCATAGCTAGTCAGCTAAATGATCAAGTTCAACTCACAAAGAACCCCTGTTGATTGCCACCTATATAACCCGACTCGATATACAACAATAAATTTAATCATGGTCAACTCTCAGATAACCTAATCTCCTCCATAACTAGATGATCAATATGTATAAAATTCGAAATTACACTCTAATATGAACAATTGTAAGCATTTCCAGGATCATTCCAACCATAATTTTCAAACACTTATATTAAGAGCCAAAATTTAAGAAATTAGCATAAATAAAATAATACAGAAATCGACTGAAAAAGAGAGATAATGGAAGAAGCCATACTTGTCCAACAACAGCAGCAAGAGGGAAGAATTGGCGACCATAATTAGCGTCTTTAGGGTTTTCGGAGTCGGAAACAACAGTTCCATTGTCGGAATTAAGAGTTGTAGCGGCGAGAATTTTAAACGGCGGCGGTAAACGGCGAAAGTTGCGGCGGCGCGTGAACTTAGTAGAGGTGAAGGTGGTGTAGGAGAGAGAGAATGGTTTGCTTGAAAAAGAGTGTGAATTGATGAGAGAGAAGCTAGGTGAAGATGCTAACGCCATTGTTGTCGAGCTCGAGCTTGAGCTTGAAGAAGAGGATAGAGAAAATGGTTGAGTCTTCACTTATCTGTTTCTATATATCAGCCCACCAATTGAAGTATTTTGTTTTTTTTTTTCTAATAATGGACCAATCTAAAGAGGACACTTTTCACCTAGAGCGTTTGGTAGAATGAAGGGTTTTAAAGGAAAGGAATGAAACCCCTAAATTTTTAAAGATGTTTGTTAGAGGACAGTTTGTCCCTCCATCTCCCTCAAGAGTGACCGGAGTCCATCGTTCAGGAGAACCTCTTTCAATTCAATTCCAATCAAAGGTAGGTTATACTCATGGTATAAAAAACCACAATCCTTCCATTACCCTTGTAAATCTTCGTTAATCTTTCCTCATATCGATTTTTACCCAAGCATCCCTCTCCTCCAATTAATTCAACAACATATTTATTTATTCTAATCTGGTTATTTTTGTTGACAATAACCATTTGTTATGTTGGGGGTGGGGATTTATCGTTTGTTATTTAAATGTAAGCCTAACTAACATGAAACAATTTGTGGAAACTAAAAACATCTCTTTATAATCTAAGTGCTTATCATAATTCACTTTTTACATAAAGTAAGTTTTCATTTAAGAATTCACAATAAAAAATTAAAAAAAATTAAAAAAAAATCTTTTTATCGTATTTAGGTAATAACAAGCACACAAATCAACAAGAAAAGTGGCATTAACATTATTCACATAATCCAATAATGACATAGTATCCATAGTATCCACTCATATAGTTTTCGCATAGTAATAATATTCACAATATACCTAGATTACCTACTACAGACATAGTATTGAAATATTCACATAGAAATAGTATGCAGCACAGTATAGAACCTCTTTCAATTCAATTCCAATTAGAGGTAGATTAATTCCACAATATTCTTCGTTAGACACATGTTGTTTTGTAGCTCCAGCAGCGTCCTCAATTTTCATATGTATTTTTATAATTATTTGTAAATTAACAAATTACATGAAACTAAAATTCAAGTACTCAGGTTTTGCCAAGAAGAAAACAGTGACACGAGCAACATAGTAAAGTTGAATACGGTCTGCCGGAAAAAGACGTCGTATGCCTAAGCCTAACATGCTGATGATGAGTAACTTGCCGTTGACCATCACAATGAGAAACACATGATCTGTCACGAGAAAAGATTTCAAAATTATTGGGTTCCTTTCTCTGAAAAAAAATGCTCTCTTCCAACGTTCGTTTTATTCATGGTGAAGGATGAAAGAGAGAGAGACTGCAGGATTGAGAACATTGTGTTACATGTTGTTTTGCTCAAATTGCAATCCCACTGTGTTACTCGGAGGTTGAGAGGGTTGAGTATTTTGCAGGTATAGAGCAGAAATTGCTGCTATTTCTTCCCTTTTGAGCAACTAAACAAAACACAAAGTATTTAATTAGTTAATTAATTCTAAAAAAACACTTTAACTAATATATGTACTTCATTCACAGATATAGACCTAGATGGTCAACCTCTTTCAGTGAGCGCTTTGGAGGCCGACCCGAACCGTTGCCGAAACACTTGAGACATGAGAAATAGAAATGGAAACAAAAATAACCATATTATCAAAGTTTTAGGCACTTTAAGCCTTAATGAGTCAAATTTGAAGTCGAAGTTAGCAAAAAAACGATCAAATTTATCTCGATTTGTGTTCCAAATTCGCTTCGATATACATGCATAGTTTGTGTGCCAAAATGATAGCCAGTCAAGGTTTTCGGGTTAATTTATTTCTCTTTGAGTCAAATTTTGAAAAAAAAAAATATATATATATATATCAGATTTGCCTCAATTTGTATGCATTGGTTTGCATGCCAAAAATAGCTCAATAAAGTTTTTGGAGGTCATTTTAACCCATTATGTATTTCAATTTGAGGTCGAAATGTTCCAGAAACATTTCAATTTGGATGCATTGATTTACGTGTCAATATGATATTATCGCGGAAATTCTAACCATGGCAATAATCCATAACAATATAGTGATAAGTGGTAATAATTTGTAATTTTTTTTTAAGTGGTAGTTATTCAGAAAATGAAGGTTTAATTGATGGTAATTCTTAATTTCTCCTATATACAATATCTCCATGTCAAGTTATCAACCAGGTACTTCAATTTGAGTCTATTATTTAAGTTTATTGTAAGTAACTTTTAAGATATAAAATATACGAAGTATATAATATTATCAAGAATATCTATAAGAAATTGAAGACTTATTGGAATAGATAAGGTATATATGAACCGTTACACTTATTTCTCCACCGCATGACTAGAGATGGACATGTATGGGTTTGTCGCGATGGCTCATATGCCAAGCCCACGTGACTTTTATCACTGCAAGTCGTGCTTAGCTTTAAATTGGTCAAGATTAAGTCATGTCGAGCTTTAGAAAATAAAGTTTATACAAAGCCCAACCAATGTTTTGTGATGTGTTACTCGTGTTGTACCTTTTGTCTTGCTTATAATTCCTAAAATTTATTGATTTTGTCCAAAGTGAACATACCGGCAAGCGGACCCATCGTGCTCATGCCTAATTTTCAAAATATTAGATATGCACGGTCCGTAACAAAGAAAAATGATGTTTTTATTTGATTCAATTGTCATGTATTTGTTTGATATAAATCTCTTTGTAGATGTGACATTTTATTTATGAAACAATCTTTGTTCAAAAAAAAAAAAAAAATAAAAAAAAAAAATTAACACTTATAATCATTTAACTAAAATAGTTATTTAAAGTCTACGTGGATTGAATCCTATCTACACGACTACACCATTACTTGTAACTCTCTCTACTCCAAAACAAAAAAAATAACCATTTAATTGGTGTGGAGCGAAAGAGAACATAACGTCAAAACATTACACTATAAAAACCACGTACAAAGTAGTCTTCTCCCATTCCATTTATAAGGGTTAGAATCGTGTATCTTTATAGTTCAAAAACATAAAATAATACAAGGGCTAGAAAGCCAAATGGATGATTCATTAAGGAGTAAGGACTATTAGGAGATACACTGCAGCAACTACAGCATGAAAGAAACATATTGCGTTATACCAGTAGGCTCCTTAACTCAGCCACAACTCCATATTTATTCTGTTTTCCAAGGGCCGCAGCATTCAGTCACCCCAAATGAGTCTAAAACTCGAACATTATCCTAGTTTCATCTTCTTCCCTTGCAAATGTAAAACCACCACGAGGTGAGAGTTGGAAAAGTGGCTCATCATCTTGAAACATCTTAGCTCTTCAGGAATACAATCCGGCTCTTATATATTTTTCACAAATCATAAAGAAGATCTAAGAGATTCTCCTAACAGATCTAGTAACACTGATACTCAATTGCAGCACATAAAATCTTGCAGATAAAAGTATAGAGAATTATTCATGACAAACAAAACAATTTCTTAAAATAAAGTTAGACTTGTAAAGTTGTAAGGAAAACATGATTGCTAAAGAACTAGTCACAAAATATACTCATTTACCTCATATTCAAGTTTACATGCCCATACCACACCCTTTTTAACACGTTTTTTCCCCTTAACCTCTGTGCCATTTCCTTATGTTAGCAAATTAATGGGGTGGAATATTTGTTTGGTACATAAACATACAGAAACCAAAGAGAACAATCTCGTATCAAGATATAAACCATATTCGGTAGTATAGAAAAGATGTAAGTGATATTCAACTAATCTTATAAAGCTTTTTTTGGAGGGGATAGGGGAACAGATCAAACAAGCTAGATTAATACAAGCATATACTATTGGAGAGCTATCAAACAAGCTAAATTAATACAAGCATATACATACAGAGAAGTTTGCAAAGCAAACAAATTGCCTAACCTGCTCAGAATATTCCACCTTGAAAGCACATAGGATTTGGCCTCTGCTTCTAACTTCCAATGCACGTCCACAGGATAAAATGTTCAAATGCTGTGTTACATTTCCACATGCTTTCAAACTGTCAACCCAAAATTCACCTGAAAAAAACCAATCAAGCTAGTCTAAAGCTTCCTCTTAACATCTTTAAGATCAGCAAAGTTCACTGTTTTTAATTCCTCAACAAAGCTGAATCAGATCAGTTTTCTTCGGCCTTGTAAGTTGTAATTTGGCTATGAGTATGCCACATCAACACAAACAAAAACAAAAGCCAAAACAAATATTATGGAAAACAAGTTGAAAGCATTTTAATAATCAAAACAATGAGCAGTGTGATTTGATGATTCCTGCTGCTGGGAATGTCAGACATGTCAAGCATGTCCAAGTATTGACAATGCAAATATCCTTATTCTCACCCGTCATGCTAGCAGACAACTGTTTCCAAAAACACTAATGTGAAATGATTGATAACATGCACCACTGTTTAACACTACGAGCAACATGGCAGGCGTAGTGGATGTCAACTAGATTAGTTGGTTAATGTCTTGGGGGTGGTAACAGCAAGAAAAAGAGGAAGTGGACAGGTTATGGAAATTTTCAGTAGTCGATTTACAAAGATCCTAAAAATATCAATATAATTCAACTTTAACCCACAATGAACCTGTTCATAACCAACAGATTAAATTCCAGAAACAAAAGTGACTGTCTGACATCAAATCCTTTCAAACCTGAAACATGAGACATCTTTGGGAATCAGATAAGTTCCATAGATGGATGCCCATGCATCCTGCTTATCAAACCCAAACTTAAGCAGTGAAATGAATGCTCTGTGTCAACTCTCAAGTATTCAAATCAGATAAAGAGAAACATAAAAACAAAGGAAAGATGCTGTTATGGCAAACTATGAGATAAATTTACAAATTGGCTCTTTAGAATGGGGGTGTGGGGCCAGGATTGCTATTAAAACATATCATCAACCAAAAAGCTTCAATATAGATGCAAAGGATAAAAAATGCAAGTTATTATACATTGAAATAAAAGGAGAAAGTTCAATGACCAGATGTTGTAGTCACAAAACCAAGACTAAAGCTAACAAGGGTCCTACAATTTCCACACCAGATTTTAGCAGAGCTTTTAAATATTCATTTTTTTTTATTTGGCAAGTAAATTTTAACAGTGTTGCAGCCTTTTCATCAAGCTAAAACAACATGATGATACTGCATATTAGAGATGAATGTGATAAAAGAGAGCAGAAATCAACTTGCCACATGATTGTCATATCCATAGCTGTAGAACTAAAAAACGACCTGTTAAAAATTCATTTGAGAAACAGCCTCCTTAGGAAAAAAAATAATTACGACATGTTAGAGTAGTCAAAATTGCAAAAACAAAGGTTTAAATTATAAATTTTCATTAAATTACGAAGAATCAACAAAGTATTTATCATTTGATTCTGCTGTAAAAGCTATCCCTACCTCTAAGGTTTTTGTATCTGGTCACATGAATCAGAAATGAGGTGACAAAATCATGGAGGTATCCACAACCCCCACTGCTACAATTAGTGTCGACAAGAAACTGCAGCCTCTTCCTTTATGTGATTAGAGGCCATAAACAAAATACCTAGGTACAAGAATAATGAACAACGGGTATCATCTATCCTTTCAGCTATTTTTGGATTTTCTGTGTCCATCGGCTCCATCCCATAACTGAACTGATGTGCTGAACTGTCGTCCAGTTAGTAGTGTTAACTGTGATCATTTAGCTTATTGCTTTCTTTCCAAGATGCAATTCTCATCAGACTCCGTAAGCAATTTAGACTCCAAATCAAGATCTTGACTTTCAATTGAACAGGATACAACTTCCTTGCTGGTAAGTATCCCGTTCACAACTCCTACCTCAGGATCTACAATCAGAGTCTCATCCTGGCAAAGATTTCCATCACAACTCGGTGCTGAATGAACTTCAGAGGATCCTTCAGTGCACTGAAGCTGTTGTGCACAATCTGTTTTCTTTTGAATTACAACTCCAGGTAACCCCGGAACATCCAGAGCCTCACTTGAAGATTCATTGAAAAGAGGTTTAACTTCTCCTGAATAGGATGCAACCTCCTTGCTGGTAGGTGACCCATTTTCTACTCTCAATTCAGAACCTAACATCAGAGTATCATTCTGGTCAAGATTTCCATCACAATTATGAGCTGAATCAATCTCTACAACACCGGATGAACCTTCATTGCACTGAATCTCTATCGCGTCTGCTTCCTTTCGAACTACCACAACCTTAGGTAAACCCTGACGATCCAGAGCCTCACTCACACTTTCAATAAAAAGATAATTATTATCCTTTGAACAGCATACAACCTCATTGCTGGTAGGAGACCCATTTACTTTTTTCAACTCAGAATCTAGCATCGGAGTCTCACCCTGATCCTGATTTCCATCACAATTCTGTCCTGCATGGACTTCTACGACACCGGAAGAACCTCCATTGCAGTGAAATTCTAACACACAATCGGTTTTCTTTCGAACTGCAACAACCTCATCCAGAGCCTCACTTGAAGATTCAATAAAAAGGGTACTAACATCCCCCGAATTAGATGCAATATCATTGCCAAGTGACCTGTTTTCAACTCTGGTCTCAGAACCTAACATTGGAGTGTCATATTGGTCATGAGTTCCATCACATTTTTGTTGAAGCTCTAACAAACAATCTGTTGCCTTTTGAATTGCAACAACTTCACGTAATCCCTGGGCATCTGGAGCCTCAATAGAAGCTTCAGTAAAAAGGGTACTGTTGTCCTCTGAACAGGATACAGCCTCCTTGCCAAGTGACCCGTTTTCAACTCTGGTCTCAGAATCTAGCATTGGAGTGTCATATTCGTCACAAGTTCCATCACATTTTTGTTGAAGCTCTAACACACTATCTGTTGCCTTTTGAATTGCAACAACTTCACATAATCCCTGGGCATCCAGAGCCTCAATAGAAGCTTCAAACAAAAGGGTATTGTTGTCCTCTGAACAGGATACATCCTCCTTGCTGGTAGGTGACCCATTTACTACTCTCAACTCAGAATCTAGCATCAGAGTCTTAACCTGATTAAGATTTCTATCACAATTCTGTGCTAAATGAGCCTCTAAGAGACCAGAAGAATTTTCATTGCACTGAAGCTCTAGCACATTATCTGTATCCTTTCTAACAGTAACAACTTCTGATGATTCTTGAGCATCACAAGTAGCTTCCATAAAAAGCATACTTTCATCCCTTGATTTGTCAACAAAAGGACAAGCAGGAGGACTCCTATCACGGCATACGTGGCATTTGAACCCTATAAGACTACCAATATTTCCTTTGTTAAGTCCAAATGCATTACCATGGAACCAATCTGCAAACAAGAACTCTCGTTCAAAAACCACAATATGTATCACAGAAAATTAACTTAAAGCCATTCAAATTAAAAACGTAATCAAGGTTCAGTAAAGTCTAAGTACATCACCTCCACATATTTCACAAGAAATACACATCAAAGCTGATGTATATTTTTTAAAGCTATTCAAATTTAAAATGTAATCAAGGTTCAGAGAATTTTAAGAACATCACCTCCACATATTTCACAAGAAATATACATCGAAGCTGATGTAGTTCCTTGCTGTGAGCAGAGAGAGCATTTTGGTTGATCATCAATCTCAGCAGAGAGTTCAGATGGCACAAGGAGTTTTCTTCTTTTAAACTGTATTACCCGCTCATCATTTGGCTTCCTAGATAGCATAAGGCCGTTTATCCAGAATGAATGGAGAATTTGTGTTCTTTTCTTCTGCCAGGAGATGCCCTTCGGGGTTTTCTTTGATGCCATATTCCTACGCTTATTCCTTTTCCTCTTTTTTCCTCCAGCGGAACTATTGGTATGCAGAGTTGTACATATTGCTTTCCTAGCAGAACTATTAGAATGCAGAGTTGTACAATTCGCTTTTCTAGCAGAACGGCGCAGAGTAACACCTGTAGAGACATTGGTAATTTTCTGTGATGGAGACTGCTCATGGGACAGCATCTTTTTAGCATTTCGCAGAAGCACTTTTCTACGACTGCCTAAGGGTCTTCCCTTCTTCCGAGGCTTAGCCCTCAATGCTGCAGAGTGCCCTTCACTGACAACCTTCACATTTTTCGCGGCCCGAAGTTTACCAATTTTCCGTTTCCCCAGATTGCTTTCTTTCTTTACATGCTTCCCTGCCCGGCATTTGTGGCATGTATATATGCATCCAGAAGTAATTCCCTCTGAAGACTTCATGACATGTCTTTTATGAAAATACCCTAAATATGAATGCCGATTTGTCAAATTCATCCAGATATATGAAGCAAAATTTAAATTTCATTTAAGTATACCAATAAAACCAACCAAAAATGCCATGCACCCATGCAAGAGCCAAGGACACCAACAACAACATCCATAACAGTTGTGTACAAGACTACAAGTACCAAATCAACAACAAAATCATACATGATCGAAAAAATTTAAGCTTCATCTACAAGACAGATATTGTAATTTCCCTAGGAAGATTTAGCATAAAGAAATCACTATCATCCAGAAGTAGAAAGAGAACTTCAAGAGAAGGGGGAATAGAAAACAATCCTACAACCCCAATACAAGAAAGAATACATAGAGATATAAGCATGTTCAAACAAATATCAAAAGATTACTATTGTAACCATCACTCAAAGTGCAGAATTCAGCAACGCCTCCAAAAGTTACAAGTCCATTTCCTTTACATAAAGTGTATTCTTAGTAAACAACGATTGCTTTATATATCAAAGTTTTGTTACATGCAGTAAGGAAACGACACAAGTTAGTCTATACTTCAGGCTCGAAGTTGTCTTCTACCATCAGTAATAAAATACAAGGACATGATATGAATCATGATATTGATTTCTTCGAAGGAGTAGTAAGCAAAGACATAACGTCATAACCACATCAACCATCATTCACAAGCCATTATCAAAAAAATTTACGTACCGTTGCAAAGTTGACAGCTCACAGCTTCACTGAAAATGCAAAGAAATTTGCATCAGTTCTACAAGAAATCATGATAATACAGAAACCATTCACAGAAATATGCTCCCACCAAGCAAAAGCAAGAAAGTTCTCATCTTGTAACAAAGTACCAAACTCACATGACATCAGATATTCTTTCAAGTTATTCCAATAAAGAAACGACAACACGACAACTTAGCGATACTGTCTCAAAATATACAAGAACACTTCAAAATCACAAATCATCTTTACTATATCATACTCACACAACATCAAATAAGTGTGAGAGATACCCCCAGACCCCATTAAACTTTGGTGTTTTTCAAATATCAATTGTATGACAGATTCAGGCATCAATGCAAACTATATGCAGAAGAAGAATAATCATACTTTTATTCATGTGGCAGTGGCTCCAACAAAAAAAAAAAAAAAAGGAAAAGTTATAACCGTACAGTATGCCAACCAAATGTGCAGAACACAGTATTCAAACCTAAAGTCCAGAATTGGAAAAGAAAGATCAAAAACTCAAATCCCACACAAAGAGCATGTCCCCAAAACAAAAGTTCAGTTAAGCAAAGACTCTAAACCTATCAATCTATAAATTTCAGGCCAAAATGGAAGGTAAATGATGTGAATTTGAGTAGCTCCGTTAAAATAATCAAATTCGGCATTTTTCTTTTACATATAGGCAAAAACAATTCTAGAACAATCTAACAATGAATCCTAGATTACATGGAAAATAAATACCTAATAAGACTAGGACTTCTAAGTTCTAAAAATAATGATAATACATGTTTACCATACATGTAAAATCCATCTTAAAGGGACTAGGAAAACCGTGTAGGACTCTTAAGTAAACATTTAAAAGATATGACTTATCCTAACTAGATTAGGATTAAGCCTTAGCTTCCTTGTACGTCAAAAGTCCTTTCCAACCCAACTACCTCACATCAAAATAGACATGTAACCAATATAAGAACCCAAAACAACAGCATATAGAGTGTACTCAGTATAGAAAACCCAAATATGATGTCAACTTTGATTCTTTAGCGAAGCTACTCAAATTTACATCCAGAAAACCAAACTCAAGCAGGAAACAGTTATCTAGAAGAAATACAAACAACCAAAAGACCTGAATTATAATGTTCCTTGTTGACCACACAAACAGGCAATATCATCAAATATAATTTATTTATTTCCCCATATCCTGTTCTGTTGTCAATTTAACATCACCTAATACAGTAGTCCTAAACAAACTATTTTAGCATTCCCAATTCACAACAGAGCATAAGAGAAAAAATAGATGAAATTTTACAAGACTGGAATTAATATACCTAATCAGCACATTCTTGTTACAGTGTCCACATTGATAACTGTCAGCCCTTTCTGCTCTTGAGAAAAGATAGTCAAAACCTTTTTCCCTCGAAGGCTTCTTGCACACTTTAACACCTCTTCGGAATTTATTGTAATTTTTCTTACCAGCCTTGCGGGTTATTCTTTTCTCCTCAAAACTCTTCAAGAGATATAAAGGAACATACACTTCATCCAACCAATATTTTTTCCTCTCACAGTCAGATTTTTCAAACTTTTGCCCATGTTTAAGAACAACATCTGGAACACTTCTTCTCTTACCAAAATCCAAAAGATATCTTGCAACTGTACCTTCTAAACACTTACGCCTGACTATGACTTTCTTAAACAGCCTGATCGACTTTATGGAGTTCTTGTCCAATAGAGAATGAGGATGAGTATTCTCAATATCATCCCAGCGAATAACCAGGTCAAACTCTCTCACCTGAGCCAACAACATATAACAAGAACTGGCTTTATAGGCATAAGCATAAGTAAAGCTGAAGCACAAAAGCAGTTTACTCTATAAATTCCACAGCCTCAACATATCATAATGCGCTGGAAAGTAGTTTACATCATAGCCATAGGCATAATCACATGTGAAACTCGAAAGTTAAATTACATAATCAGTACATAAACATCAAAAAACAGTACTAGGGCTGATACTAGCACAAAAACGTTAAAAAACATGTGAGGACGTTTTGGAAAGGGTTGAAATGTACTGGAAGAGATTACAAAAAAAATGCATAAGATTTTTCACTTGTCTACGTAATCTATGCAAAACTGCAATTTCTATGAACATAAAATTTGACAAAAACTTAGGTTGAAATAAAAACAATTAGAAAGAAATGAGAGGAATTGCATATCGGACGGCATAAAAAGCTTATGTCGATGGCATCAGATACTCAGATCTACTTGCAGTGGAAAAAGCAGAGCAAGAGCAAAGAAGCATGTATCTGTTTCATGATAAACTGTAAACGTTAAGAGTCAGAGTTAAATGAGAGTAGTAGTTAGTTGACTAGTGCACTAGTCAACAAGACTACATAAAGATTTTATACTCCATCTGTCTTTCTTTTTTCTTTCTTTTGTTTGTTTACTACATACCCTTTTTGGTAAGACTTCCCCTTAAAATGACTTTATTGCCATCATGAATTGTGATAAAGGACCACCAAGGTTTCATTCTCTTACTTTAAACTATTTCCACAAGTTTCTCCATTTCTTGTTTCCATGCAACATAGGCTTATAACGATTTAACAAACATTACCATTTAGATGCACTCAGTTAATTTAGAACATCAGAGGGCTTGAAACATCATGTAAATTTTTAAAAACAGAGTTTTTTGAAGCATCTGAAAGCCTGAAACCACCAGGTAGATTCTTGATGTCTCATTTCAAGCAACATAATAGTAAAATTGGGATAGACTATAAACCTGGAGGATATGAAAGGCTATTCTAAGACTGGGCACAAAATAACAATTGATGAGCAATATTACCTGCAAAGCCAGCTGCTCAAGACTTGTGGATGTTTCTACAGCAGCCCGCCATGCAACACATTTAGTTCGCCTAGCAATTTCAGAAGCATCAGGATATTGTATATCCGGTAACTTCATGCAGCCAGCTGCAATAAGTCAGGCTTCAACTGAGTTGAAAGACATGTGATTCCTAAAAGTGTATGTAATACTGACCTCAAAGAGCCAAAACATAAGCATACCTTTTCGGGCCACTTTCAAAGCCAACGAGCGAGGTATGCCTTTACAATTGAATAGACTACGAGAAGTCTTACCCCCTCTCCACCAAAAGAAAACTAAACCACGACCAGCAGTTGAAGATTTATTCTCAGTGTCTGCATATCTAACCTTCTTTCTGCTGAGACCGTTCTTTGAAGTTGCACGTGAACTGGCCACAAAGTGAGAAGCTGAACCCATAGTAGTAACCAAGTCAACATGTTTCCACCAATCAGCAGAAATAGCCAAAGGACGTATACTGGCCTCCAGCTGCATGCACAGCAACAAAAATAAATACCAGAAATTCAGAAAATGATGAAGGCAAAATTCCAAACCAATTAAATCTCTGAAAGTATGAAGAAGGAAATTCACAGATAAAGCTAATAATTACTAGATTAATCTACAAAAGGAAGCAGTATAATACTAATAGTTCATCACTTCATTGAGCTACTCCATGTAGGTCAACAAACTCAAAAGGATTGGAGCACAATATGACCAATCAGATATAAAGCATCCCTGGCAAGCAAAAAAAATGCAAACAAACAAAATGTTCAGTTACATAAAGTAGTATTCACTAATACTCAAAGTATTCAAACTGGATAACCTGCCAATCGAATAGGTCTGAAATATCTATTTCCAGTTTCAAAATGTTGATCCATCCAAACTATAACGAATGCACCTGATGTCTTGAAAGGAGCCCTTTGTGATAAAATCTTTGCCCCCCCCCCCCTCTTCCCCCCACACGTCACCCCAAAGGAAAAAATATTCCAGTTACAATAAGTCAATAAGATAGAGTGAATACGACTCTCTGGAGCTTAAAGCGACAACTTTGTAAATAGCAAACACTGACTTTCTCTGTCACATTCAAATTAGTTAAATAGCTTTTCCAACAGTCTTGTATATGATGGTGTAAGTCACCCCAAATTTAATAAATGTACACCCAAATCAAATAAAAGCCAGCCCTTTTGAAAACTTGGCTTTAATGCAAATTGGATTGACATTTATGTAATTCGGGGTGGTAAACTGATAATTATTAAGTTTGAGGTGACTAAGCTTGTTGTATACAAAACGCTTTGCGAAGTTTTAAACTTCAACTCATTGACTAACTGGTCAGTGAAAATTAGATAAGCTAGCATTTGTAAATTGGATTGACATTTATGTAATTCGGGGTGGTAAACTGATAATTATTAAGTTTGAGGTGACTAAGCTTGTTGTATACAAAACGCTTTGCGAAGTTTTAAACTTCAACTCATTGACTAACTGGTCAGTGAAAATTAGATAAGCTAGCATTTGTAATACTTCATATAAAAATACAATATAAATCTCAAAACTTCTTCCAGAAGATTAGCCTTTTTTTTTAAGAATTTCTAAAAGATAACCTATTGACCTATAATTCACATTTTAAGACTGAAGATGTTTTTAAATCAGGATGTGAGAGAGAAAACACTACCGTAAGCAGAGGGAGTTTCAGTGAAGAAACATCACATGCTTTGAGGACACGTTGACGCCAAAGCTCACTGTATTGAGGTCGCAGCCATGGACCAGAGAGAAGTCCCCGCAGGCGATCTTCCATACAAAGAATGTAGCAAATGACATCTACAAGATGTCCCTTCTTATTCCTTTTTGACAGGATACCATCAATTTCTTCTTTAAGAGCATCTGAAACAGATATACCATTCGGGATACTGAATAAACAACCTCTTCCTTCAACAGGAAATCTGCAACAGTAGCACCATCCACATTTTTCTGTCTGTCTCTTCCTATTTAGGTCTTGAACAGTAGTCCAACAAGACTTTACTGACTTCTTCAGAATAAACTTCAACTGAATTGAAATGATCTCCTCCTCAGTCTTAGGAGCATCTTTACCAGTGGGTTTTCTCAATAATTCTTCAACAACTGAAGATGCTGTCCGAGCAAAGCTATAGCTATTTAGATAATTATCCCCAGATTGCTCTTGTAACACATCCTCCTCTTTAGCCTTCAAAACGGATCTACCTTTTCTTGCAGGACCTTTTTCCTTCCTCAGTTTAGAAGATGAAAGCTTCTTTCCAGATGTCCCTCTGGCAACCATATTGGACACAGGTCTACAAGATTTTTGAATCAACTCATTCTCCTGTAAAACTTCACCAGATCCTTCGGAACTTGTAAGTAGATTGTTTGTTTCTCTGCAAGGTTTTGCAGTATCTGAACCAAGCAAGTCTGCAGGTTCAGAAATTTCAGAGCCCGAATGACCAGAATATCTTGTATTGATGAATTTTTTTGATTTCCTTCCATCATATTCAGTTGGGAAGGCCCAATGTTGAGAAATTGCACTTAGGATTGAGCTGTATAAAATAGTAGATGATTGCAGAAGTTGAATAACATCACTGAGGTCATCTTTGTGGTAATAACTACATACAGCCTCAGCATCACTGGAATCTGACCTGTGAATTTAATAACATATCAATACAAAGATATGTTTAAGGTAAATAATTCTCTTCTCCTTCCATCTCTATCAGTAGAATAGCAGAACAAAATGAAGGAAAACCAGATGATGTACCATTAAATGTTGAAATTTTGCGTGAAATAGGGAATATGAACATAAATGTAACCACCAGAGTAACAGAGACACAATAGAATCATTAAACATGATCCTGTGAACCTAAAATTTTTCAAGAGTTACATTTTATTTAAAAGCTTTTCCAACAGATGTCTAAAAAGTAAATCTCTTACCCATCAGAATATTTATTGTCATTGGTACACACTACACAGTTGCCCAGATATTACTGTTGATCAAATTCCAGACATCAGAACAGGTATTGGAGTCTTCTTTGTTCAGAATTCATAACTACAGTTTGAAGTTCTTTCTAGTCAACAGATAAGATGTCTTTAAAATCTTATAGATTTTCCCTTAAATTACAAGTACACATAAGCCTGAAGGCGGCAGCTCTGATGAGTGAGATATGAAGACTTTCTGTGAAAAACATACTGAGCTTGCTGGATAGGGGATATAATGAGAAAAATATATATCCTCAATGAAGACTCAAATCCCAATAAATATCCTATATGCCATCCTGACAGAACAAGTGCTTACAGAAGAAAGTGAAGAAAAACCAGTGAGAAATGGTAATATCTCCAAGTAGTAAATACTCCCACAGTCTCACTGAGACTATCAGCCTAATACTTCATGCCTTGCTATATGGTTGGTCATAAATCCTGAGGTGGACACGAGGAAGAGATCAATAACAGTTTGTCAAATCTTGGATCATTAGAGTTTACCCAAAAACATTGTGGAGACCTTCTACTTCTACAGAAAATTAAAAGGAAAAGAAGACAAGCAGAATTGTGGAGATACCCAAAGATATATATTTTTTCTTCAAAAGGAGCACCAACTTCCTTCCATTGACCACCAAAAAAGACAACCATGATGAAAGGAATAGAACCATAATAAGATTATTGCAATTTATCTCAGAACCCTACCTCTTTCAAATTATTCTAAACCCTGAATAAAAAAAATATAAGCTTTAGATCCACCCACATCCTTGAGAGGGTGTAATCAACCAGCAATTTAGCAATGATATCTACACCATAATTCAGAGACATGTAAAAGCCACTTACCCTGTCAATGTGCAGTTTTCAAGTCCAGTGTCTTACAAAAGTGACACATGCTCTATATTCAAGGAAGAAAAATAAGAAACGCTTTCAAAAGTATACAAGGGATTTCTAGGAGTAAAAGCCACCAAGGTACACCGTACACTTAACATTTTTCCAACATCTACGCGTACAACACTTCTTCAAAAAAATGGAGCTCTAAGAATTCTACAACCAGCAGGAAGAAAACTTCAGAAAGAAAAGGCACTCATGCTTTTCAATCTATGTTCTTTTAAGAAAAAGGAATACATCAGTTTTGAATTCTTATGCTACCAATTTTGTGTTCAATCATTTTTCCAGTTATGTTGTTCAAAGAACTGTTACATACTACGTATCTTATAGAAAATGAAATTTACTTCTCAAGTTTCCCCCTTGATTTAAAAACAACATGCTATGAGCTACCTAAGGAGTACTTATACCCTAAAAACACATTTACTATGCAATCTTTCTGGATGAATAACAGAAAATAACAAACCTTGCTTTTGTTGATGGCACTTTGTCATGCTCTACATTGATTCAAAGTACTTGGAAAAAAATCATTAAAGAGGTCCATTTCTTAAGTAAGATAGCATATCTACATTCATTCTGTTTCATCCTGGTAAAAGTAATAGTAAAATAAAGCCAAGTTATATACTATCAGCTTCTAACCACATTGGTAACATTTGTAGCAAAAAAGTTATTCAGAAACTAAGACACAGCAACTCTAAAGCCAGACCAGGTAGATATATAATATATATTCAGAAAAGCTCAGTGTAATAAATATGGTAATTTAACTAAACGAAATTCCAAGGAGCTTACACCAAAAGGTAGTCAAAGCAGCTGAAAAAAAGGCGTCCACAAGTATCAGTTCCAAGTAACTCTGCACCCCGAATGAATTTCTGAGGTTTGTTGGCAAATTTCAGTTTGCCAATCACACATTCTGGACAGTACCAGTTACCCTCTGGCAAAAGACTGCTGACAATTCCAACACATTTTGAATGATATGCAGCTGGACAACCATCACAGCATATCAAGTTCCCATCCATCTTACAAAGGCAACACTCATCACTGTTTCCATCAGCTACCTCTTCTTTCATGCCCTCACTTGGGCAAGAGTCTACAGGAACATCTAAAGAGGTTCTCCTTTTCTTATCATTGCACACCGTTCGACCAGTATCCATATTAGCCTCTGCAATACCTGTCCTTTTACTAAGCTCTGATCTAATGGCCTCAACTTCAACAACATCATCACAAAGACAACGAAGCAATTCTATCTTCACCTCTGCTGGGTTTTTGTAGTATTCGCCCTCAAATAGCTTCAAGTGATTGAGAGAAAAACCAGGTTTTAAACCAGAACCGTGAATAAGTAGATATTCAACCATAAACACAGGCCAGGTAATTGCATCCAGAAAATCCCAGTTCAAATTCCTATCATTATTAAACAAAGGGTAACAGTAATCAATCACAAGGTCGATTTTTTATTTGCCAACAATCTTTAATATTCAAATTGAAGTGTAAACTTTACCTCAAACAAGTGGATGCAGATTCACATCCCTCACTTGCAAGCAATTCCAGATGTTTTCTCAACGTTTGCAAGATGGCGACATGAATTAAGTCAATTAATTGATTAGATACCCTGCTCTTCAATGCTGCTACAAGATCCTCCAATTCAAAAGGACTCAAGTATAATTTGGTACTAAACGACCTAAGGCAAGCATATACAGAGAAAATATCTAACACAGGAATTCCCTCTAAATTTAAATTAGCTGAAGACGGTGGCAGTTCAATCTTAGGAGGAGGAGTTTGAGGTTCTATGATTTTTTCCAGCATCTGAGGAGCAGGCTTTTCTTCAGCTTCATCAATAACCCCTGACACCACAGACATATCATTCACTTCATCTTCTACCACGGCACTGGAAGCATCATTCTCATTTACAGCAGCAGCCTTTGTTCGTCGTGCACTTCTTCTCAACACAGTTTCTGTTGGAGTACTTAAATTCTTCTGCATCTTTCTCCTCTTCCTACGACCAGAATTTCCATCCTGGCATTGATTCGGTGTCACAGCTTCCACACCACCTCCATCTAATTGATAATCACAAACCCTACTATTTACAAGATTAGCATCAACAGCACTGACATCCCCATCTTTCACTTCTTCACCTAAACCTACACAAGAATTGATATTTATTGCCCCATTCTCCCCGTTAACGCCCTCGTCATCAATCCCTAAATTCAAATCGAACCCGCGTTCTATCCTCCCAACTAAACCAACCTTTTCAATCCTAGTGTCATTCCCATCAAACCCATCATCGTCTACACTCAAATTCAAGTCAATACCACCCCTAACTTCCCCATTTTGAACCCCATCATCGACATTTAACCCGCGGTTCAAATCTAAATCGTCATTTCCGTCAATACCATCCAAATTCCCATTAACATTAACAGAAACATTAAAATCATTCACTTCAGTTCGACCTAATTCAGGCTCAATAACTAAATTCTGTCGCGAATTATCAACTTCCAAACTGTCAGAAGATTTACCTGGATCATTACGACGCCGTTTCTTGGGCTTCCTCCCAACTTTTTTTGTCGCAACTTTCTGATTCCCAGCAATTGAGTTAACAGCAGCAACAGACGAAGAAGAAGAGATCAAACGAGTAACCTCGGACAAATCAGCTTCCTCGGAATCGCCGTCTTCGTACAAGATTTTGAAAAAACCAGTTAAAGAATCGTATGATTCAACAACTCCTTCAAAAACCCCAAACCCTTTGAACTCCTTCGACACAGTTTTTCCCACAAATTCCATTAATTCGATGATTGGGAGTAAAATTAGGGTGTTGAAAAGGGGGAAATTGAAAGGATCTGCTGCAAGTGCAGCAAATCAACCCAGAAAAACGCCCAAAATTTTTTGACAGAAAAAAAAAATGAAAAAAGAAAAGGAAGGGGGAAAATCAAATGTTAGTGGGGAAAGAAAGAAAGAGGTTGGAGATGTTGGACAACTCTAGGGAGTGTAGCGAGTTTGTTGCACACTCTCTCTCTCATCCCCCAAGGCCCCAATAGTGTGGAGATTTGGTAGTATTTTTTAGGTCTCGTGTGGATATTAAAACAATAAAGCGGTTAAAAGTTAACCCGACATGATAATTGCGATATGAATCGGACACAATATGTGGGTCAATAAAACCTTTATTTACCTATTGATGTAAGCTAAATAGCTAATCAATATAAGATTTAGTGTATCATAAATGGATCAGGTTAGTGCTGAGATGACACAACAATAGATGATATTGTTTTTATAGCGCCACGTGCAAGGCATGGCGTTTAATAAATTTACTATAACATAAATGGGTCAGGTGAGTACTGAGATGACATGACACGATATAACATGTTTGATAACTCCACGTGCAATTTATGGTGTTTAACAAATTTGTTGTATCATAAATTGGTCAGATTAGTAATGATATAACATGACACGACATAATATGTTTGATATCTCCACGAGTATTGCATCGTATTTGTATGGTGTATTAGTGTTCAACGAAAATGGTTGTAGTTGGTTGGTATGCATGGTATCTTACCATACTCTCTCGTTTTAGAAGACGCATTTTCATCATTGTATGTATTTGTAGGTTTTGAAATCTATCTCGTAAAATTTTGCTTCCTCTAAGTTTTCTTTAAATTTGTGCATAAAAGTGACTAATAAAATTCATACTACAATTCACCCCATTTTTATTTATTTTTTGTAATATTCCACTCACATCAATTTCTCCCATTTCCACACATTCCTCTTCGCATGTGTATCAACATATTATTCAACTTAAAATACCTTCAAGCATCTCAATAGTCACCAAACATATGAATATAATATAGTGCTTCTCCATTTTGCACTTGAATTTAACCTCTTGGCGATATAATATGTTGACTATAAAATTTATATCTAGCTTGAAGCTTTATTTAGTTATTGTTTCTGGAATAAAATTCTCCTCGGTGTGTAAAGGAATTTTGAGTAGCAAGATGTTCAATGTCCAAATGTATCTAAGGTTTGCCTTGCAAGGGTGTCCAAGCGCTGCGCCTGCAAAGACTGAGAAAGTAAGCTGCCCGAGGGTTGACCCGGAAACGCTCCTTCGACGCTCAAGTCAGTGAATGTACTTTATAGAGAGAGAAAGTAGCGAGAGAATGAGAGATTAAAAAAGTTACCCATTATTAATCATTGGTTGCTATTTATATATGTACTTTTAGGTGGCATAGCTGTACTTTATTGGACAGATTAGGAGTAAATATGTACTTTATGATGATTAATGGATGATTAAGGATGATGAGATGGATTATGAAAGGGTATTTTCGTCATTTTAACTATAGTGGGCTTATGACATGGACTAGGCGTCTATGCCCAAACAGTTATGTTTTATCATTAATTTAGATTTGTAGGTGTAATTGGTTATTTATTGATGTTATCAATGTTATTATAGTCATTTGTATTCGTTCATGAGAGGTAATATCGTGATATAAATACAAAAAAAACTCAGTAGGCCAAAGTGCAATATTTTAAAAGAACAAAATCAATCATAATACATAGCATGTTTAATTAAACATGTTCTTTTTTTTTTCTTTAAACTCATCATATGAAAATGTACTAAAATATCAACTCAAATTTGCTACCATACTTAAATTCGATTAAATCGAATCATTGTTTAATATGCTATGTCCTCTGCATGATTAATTTTGTAATCGTAATTAGCTTAACTCGAAACTCGAGAACAAGTGCAAATAGCGTGACACAAAAAGAAAACTTATGCTCGAGTTACTTGCAAAAATTTAGCTTTTAACATCACAAGTCTATAATGACTTTTAACAAATACTATGACCCTAAGAAATTACAATTAGCACCGGAATATACCAGAATTTAGTATTCAAGTGCTAATTCTTACTTGAGATTAAAACATGTAATCAGCCATTTATCATTCTCTCTCCTAAAAAACCTATCTTTTGCATACCATATTCTTACAATTTGCTAGTGTTTCTCTGAGTTCATCGATTCTTGTTGTTTTCATTGTTAATGGGGTCCATGTTTGGCGACTGGCCTTCACACGACCCTCACAACTTCAGCCAACTTCGCCCTTCCGATCCTTCAAATCCCTCTGTAAGATGCAATTTCATCTCTGAATCTTATCGATGTTTGAATTATTGTTCTTAATTTCGTTAGAAATGGTGTTAATTTGATCTGGGTTTGCTGTAATTATTTTGTTGAATGATGGGGATTTGTGTCTCATCTGGGTATTTCAAATTTTGTATGCTAATGCTTGGCTTATGATTTTGTTATGTGAAATGTGAAATTATTGATATTGTGGAATTCTATTTAGCAAGCATCATCATAATTTTCTCAGAGTTATTTAAATTTTTTAGTGCTTTTTAGTTAAGCTTTTGTACAATGGGTGACTCAATTTTGCAATCTGGACAAATTTAGGGATTTCATAGCATAAACCATGAGTTTGTTTATTTGGGGTTGAAAGTTGGCCTTCTTTGAATGTGTTTTATTGTGATAGCATGGCGGAGAAATTCATCTGGGTGTAAAAATCGAAACTTGGCCGTCTCCTAATGGTTGAGAAAGTATTTGATGCTTCTTCTGAAAATTTGATCTTCACAGTTGACGCAGTTCAATTTTATGAAGGTCATTAAACTCAATAATGTCATTTATCTCATTATAGACATTGTTTATAATCACTAAAAAGAATAAGAAGGTAAATTTGTTCTTTATATGCCAATGTAAGTATTATATGCAGTTGCATCTGATGTTGATGAACTCTATGGGTTAATTAGACTGGATAATTTGGTTTTCTAGGGCTCTCAATTAGTCTAAGGTTGCTTGCTTATTGATAGTCCTAGCTTGAACCTCAAATTCATTTTGCTATTTACGAAGTTTGATGAAAAGAGCAGCATTTCTTTATTAACTAGGGTGAAGTAAAGGCATTCGATTAAATTGACTCTTCAATCTTCACAACCTTCAAATATTCAACTTATAGTGTAGAATTTGGTCTTCATAAATCATAACACAAGTTGACCAATATGGGCATAACTTCATAAAAGGAGTGGGTGAGTGACCCGTCTCTTTCCAGAGAGCGTAAACTAGTCTTTGGGTCCACTAGGTCTATGTTTCCACATTGCACCAGCTTTCTCATTTCTGCTGGGATTGGAGTCTAGGTTCAGGCTACATCCAATCTTCTTTAAAGCACTCACAAGTCACAAGTTTCAATCTTGCTGTACAATTGAAGAAGATTTCAATCACAAGGAATTAGGATTTCGATTGCATTGTTCCATGCAATGTATGGCTTATTTAATATCTACATATCAGATTGATTAATGGAAACACATTTTGTGACCTATAGTGTACATAGCTACGTACCGCACTTATCAAGAGAATCAATTGTAGTGGTATACGTGCTGAGTGATTGTTGACTAATCACTCACAGTCTCACACCTTGACACCTTGTTTTTGTTGGGTGGGATATATGGTTTTCCAATATATATTAGCTTCTGGCACACGTGAAAAACTAGGCTCTTTATGGCTGGAGAGGAAAATTGAGAGGTATGGAGAAGACTTATCTAGTATGGCGACAACTCGACAGGGTATATTAGTAAGTAAAGAGGAAATGAAATAAAGACAATCATGATTGATTTGTTGCATCATGATTCTGACCGATACTTCACTAATGATTGTCATTCATTTAATGAAATTGCCTTAACTAGTACACTGTTGTTTAAGGTTACTGTACCCCTCTCCTACAACTCCATAACATAGCTAATGAAAATTGAAGAACAGACTCTCTGCACTAGAAGTTGTGAAGCTTTGCATGTTAAAGCCCACCTTTTGTACAGGCTCCTAGTAATAATACATATGCTATTAGGACTTCTTGAGTTCAAGATTCTGTTAGCGTCTGCTGTGTGTGTGTGTGTTCTTTCCTGAATTAGTATAACCATGCATTTATAATCTTTCCTCGCCCTCACTCACACTACCCCCCCCCCCCCCCAAAAAAAAAAATAAAAGGTATTGTTCTTTACCGACTAGGTAATCAAGCATACTCTGATACATGTTGGCCAATTATCACTCTTTCTCGACATGTAAGTTTCCCTCAAAACAAAAACCTTCAGTTTAAGTGTGGGAATCTTTTTGTGTGGACTGTGGAGTGGAGCAGAGTAAAACTGCAAAAATCACTATCTGTCTTAAAACATAGAGAAATAAGTAGTACTTCCGGCATGCGAGTTGCTCCTATTATGGTATGTCCAAGTCTTTTGAAAATGTTGTAATTTTGTTACTTCATGCAGTACAAAGTGAGAGCACATTATAACATTGGGATCCCTAGGTTGTGGCAGAAGAGTATACTAGACTGATTTTGAGAAGGATATCTATGTGAATGACATGAGTAACAGGAAGAGGAAAAAGCTCTGACGCGAGGCTCACATATCCTTGCTGATTTAGGATATTGGTTCACTTCCTTTTGACCTTTTCAGTTATTTGGTTGCTCTCTTTTTTTCCCCCATTAGCTCTCAATTTCAAGTTCAATTTGAATTAGAGTAGAACTTCAAGCATTAGATAAAGTAGAAAGAAAGGAGGCCCTCAAACCAGGCAAAGGGAGTACCTTACTTGAATAGTTTATTGTATCATTAGGTGTAAAAAAAAAACTTTACCTGCAGAATAGGGGAGAGTCTAAATGTTGAAGTTGACTGAGTGTTTAGTGGCAATCAGTTCCTTTGTGCTTGTTATTCTTCTCTTTTCCTCAAATTTTCAATGTACCTTATATAATGATTTGCCACCTCCCCATGCTGCACCTAATTACAGTTTTCTCTTCATTTTCTGTTGTTTTCTTAGAACTCAGAAGTAATATCTTCATGTGATTGAACCCCCAAATTCCTAATCCTACCTGTGACCCTATTGCGGTATTGCTTACACCAGAGTCCTTAGTGTTTTCTCCTGACAGACCTCTTGTCAAGCATTTTTTCTTTCTTTCTGTCGTCAAGTATACAACCAGTTAGGGAAGCCTGTGATGTAGTAAGGTAGCCAGCAAACAAATGTATATTTCTGTTGGAAAATTTTCCTATGATGCAATTTATGCTGGGCCCAGCATTAAGTAGGTCAAAGGCCTCAAAGCCTTGTTGATTTGATTTATGAAAGGATTATGTTTAAATTAGGAAGTCCTTCATCACATGCCTTTACGTACCATTCTAATAGGCTACTAATTCCTGTTTATGTACAGAAATTGACGCCTGCCACCTACCATCCCACTCACAGTCGTACTCTTCCACCTCCTGATCAAGGTATTGCTAATTCTATATTCCTAATCATATAAGCATGTTGCATTCATACAGTAAATGCACAATACACAGTAATAATTTTCCATAATTTGCATAGTATAACTAGAAATTTGGATGCTACATAGTAGGATCTGTGACAATGTTTACTACTAATCTAATATATACACAAAGGTATCTATGTTATTGCTTGTTTTTCTCTACCCTTTTCTGATCTTTTTAGAAATTCTGCATCCTGTTCCATTTAGACAATGACAATATCAAAACTGACATGACAACAGTTTCATTTTCAAGGAGTTAGTTAGATAAACTACCATTTGCAGCTGCAAGTGCTTTCACAACTTCACATGTTCATAATGTGTAATTTTTTTACCCTGGTGTATCTAGAAGCACTCTAAATGTAAAATGAACATGAGTAAACATATTCTTTTTCATGTAGAAGCTGTTTCTTAGGCTTTGTTTGGTTCAATATTCGTAAAGGAAAGAAAGGGAAAGGAAGGGAAGGGAAAAGAAAGGAAAAGAAGGGAAAGGAAGGGAACTATACCATCTAATGTTTGGTTTGATATTAGTAAAGGAAGGGAAAAGAGAAGAATCTATTGTTTGGTATGACATTAGTAAAGGAAGGAAAGGGAAGGAAAAACTAATTTTATGGCCATGTTTGGTAAATGGCTTTTTGGTTAGCTTTTGGCTTTTTTACGTGGTCAGACAGCAAAAAAAAAAGTGTTTGGTAATTAACTTTTCATTCAGCAAAAAAGCTGGCTTTTAAGCCAAAATGAAGAAGCTGCTTTGAGTAGCTTTTCTTTGTTGGCCCACAAATCATCTAATAAATAGCCAACAACTAAATTTACCAAACACTTTTATAAACATCTAGCTTAAACAACTAATTTCAAAAGCCAAGTGAACCAGCCAACCGCCAACAGTCATTTGCCAAACAAGGCCTAAGTTTGATAGATTTAATTTCTTTCCTTCCTATCAAATTCCTCCAGTTTTGAGAGGAAAGGAAAGGGAAGATTTTGTGAAGGGAGCTTTCCTTCTATTTCCCTTCATTTCCTTTGAAATTCCATTTAATTTTTGGAACCAAACATAGGAAGGCATAATTTTCCTTTCCTTTCTTTTCTTTTCCTCCCATTTCCTTCCAACCAAAAAGGGCCTTAAGGATTTGTTTTCGTTTTTAAACATTCTTCCTGATAATCATGGAGAAAGGTATCTAAGAATCTAAGATAACTGATTACTGCTTGAGAGGCTGTTGCACATAGGAAAAAAAGTAAGAACAGGATGATCAAATTTACAGGCAGTAGATGGAAAATCATCAACTAAACTAATGGGTCGGGAAGGAAGTCTGCATAATCATATAACTGCCTTACACAAATTTTCCACATAAAAACCAACTAAGATACTAGATAAGTATGAATCAACATAAAGGTATACCACGAAACAAGGAAAAAAAAAAGGCGGGGGGGAGGGGGGGAAGGGGGGCTGTTGAGAAGCACCAACCTGTTGTTAGTACCTTGATATTTTGTAGCATCTTAAAATAAGTGAAAGTGATTTATTTTTTGGAAGCAAGTGTTCCAGTAGACGGATAAGGACTAGAAGAATAAGAGAAGAATGTACTGCTGAAAAAAAAGTAATAGCATCATCTATAAGCAATGGAACAATCATTCTATGCAGAAGAATTACCTTTTACGAAAGCTATATAGCTAATGGAATAATATGGAGTCTAGGCTTTTCTGAGCTGCTGACTCATCTGCAAGCTACAATTATAAGTAACTTTAAATTCTAGGTATTAAAATACGCAATATTGAATATTCTTAACAATGATAAATTTTATCTGCTCTATTTTCACCGAGGCTGCTTCTATTCTCTTTGCATATCTTGACTGGCTATGGATAGGAGGTTACACAGTTACACCTCGGCCTTTATAAATCAATACTTGATATCTGCAATGACTGTTGGATGAATAAATATTTTACATTTCCTCTGTTTTTTATTAGCTGTTCCACTCTGACTGGAAATATATGCCAATGTACAACTTTAACTATTAATATTGACAAGGTATATGAAAGTATGTGTTAGGCAAGTCCCAAGGCAAACTACATCATACGTAATAATTTCTTTCATGTGTTGGTTAAAAATAATTTGGTTAATCTAGGGTATGTGAATAGTGTATAAAGTCAAAGTGGTGCAAGTATTTAAAAACAGAGGGAGTATATGACTGATAAATCCATAGAAATAAATCCCCAGATATTTGACCAATCAGTTGGTCAGATATAGCTTTAAAGCTCAATAAGGTCTTATCTCTCTGTAATATCAGGTTTTAACCTTTAGAAAGATTTATCTAAATTTTGTGTACAATTTATAGCATATGATAATCTTGAAGCTTAACTATAACCTCTCTCTCTATCTCTCTCTTTCTTTTTTTTTTTTTAATGAAAAAGTTTAATTAAATCTTGGGGGGGAGAACTTTTGCTAGTTTTAATGTAAAATAACTAAATGGGTTATGAACTTATGATTGCCTGGCTAGCTGTTTCTGGAGAATATTAACTTCCTGAGAACTCATCCTTACTTTCTATTGGAAACCTTCCTTGCAGTTATCTGTACAGAAAGCAAAAATATTCTAATCAGACACTTCTATAAGCATGCGGAGGAGAAGGTACCAGTTTGATTAGTATTATTTGACTGATTTGCGTGCTTTTATGCATGTATACCAAAAATAATTTTGGCCTTCTTTTTTCTTGGGTGGATGCAGCTGAGACCCAAGAGAGCTGCTTCAGAACACCTTGCGCCTGAGAATGGAGCCAAGCATCTGAGAGCATCTTCCTCAGGAACTCCTCTATAAGCTATTGCCAGATGAAGCATTTTGATCATGTTAATAAAGTCATGTACATAATTTTTATAAAACAATGATGTTGTAGATGTGATAGTTATATTCCAGACTGTTTTGATTTGTTGGTAATTAATAGGTTAAGGTCCTTGAGAGGGTACAGGTGTTCCCTCGATGTAGGGTGGTGAAGAATTGATCCCCATTCCAGGGTTCAGGAAGATGAGCTACAAAATCGCTGTTTTCTTCCAGTTTCCTTGAAAGAGTCACCGAAGAGCGAAACTTATAATGCTTGTGGCGTGTACATTCAGTGTGCATAATCAAATAATGTAACTGATTCAATGTCGTTTATGTGCTCTTTAAGCGTACACTTTGTATGATTTGTATTTTCCAACAGTCGCTACTTGGCGCCTGTGTTAGCTCTTTGAGAAGCTTGTGTTAATAGCTGCTAGCAATAGTTGCAAATTTCGGGTACAGAATAACGTATTGATTGAATTTACAATTTTAACAGCATTTTTCACTTTGCTGGTGTTTGCCTTTGGGCTTTGTCTATCACTTTTTTTACCACAAATACTTAAAGCTTACTATGGTTGTTTTAATGCATGTGATTTGACCCTACTGTAATTTATGCTTTTTGAAAAGAAATGAATGGGAAAAAAAAAAATGCTATCTTTTGAGTTTTGATGATTGATATGGAATAAACCAAGTGGCAAATGACAGAAGGTTCTCATTCTATGTTCATATCTTTACTAATTGAACTCAATCTTATAAACAGTTAGCTATATGATTGATCACCAGTATAGTACATACGATCCTCTTCTGAGGAGGGTCTCTTAGTGTTATTTCTTTTTCTTACCTATAAAAAATGTAGTATGTACATACGTACAATTTTTTTATTTCATGGCGAGCTATTTTCTACTTTATTACGAGTAAAACAAAAACACATATGGTATTGGATCCTTGAAATCAATATCATCCTCAAATTTATTCTGAAAATGCTTCCTTCACATAAACATGTCATGATTATTGTACCAAAATATTGTAACTTTCTATAAACTGCAATTGAAAAATATGAACCCAAAATTATAAAGGCCAAATTAATATTAACATTCAGAAGAAATAGAAAATTACCGACACTACAAGCTGCTAAAAATGGATATATAGTATCATCTTCTTTAAATTAAATGAAAGATCAGATAATAAATACTGACACAAAAAATAGAACCAGTGGCTGAAAAGAAATAGAGCAAACTGTGACATAAAAGAAGAACCAATTTTCCCTCCCTATAGGCTAGGCAAAAAGGACCTTTGCAATATTAATGGGGCCAACAAACAGACATACCAACCTAATAATTTTTTATTTTTATTTTTACTTTTGTTAGAATTTCATACAATATTAAAAATTCCAAGAACATTTTTTGCCAATCAAATAATTATTCTCTTCGTTATTATCCGTTTATCACATTTGTCAATGCATAAATATTAAAACACATCAGCCAATACCCTGCATGATTATGTTTTTCCTTATACACAACTTATCAAACATAGTGAATATGTAAATAATGTCAATAATCAATATCATGCGATTAATAAAAGAGTAGAGAAAGTATACCATGTTTATGCGAAAACGTTTTAACATTAGCAGATACGTATTGTAATCTATTAAAAAAATCAAGGGCGTGTATTTTAATAATTTTGTTAAAATAAAAAGTGTATAATGAAAAATAAAACCCAATAATATGAATGAATGATGTACTTGTTATAAATTCACATGGTGTGTTTATTATAGGTCTTTGATAAGTCATACTTTTTTTGTGTATGTCAAATATTGAGAGAAGTTTAAGGGAAAAAACTCGAAATAGTTGAGCATGTGATAGCACATGGAAATGGGCCTATTTCATGCTATCTAACTTTAAATTGGATTTTATAGTTGCACATGGATGATACAATATCCAACTTCCCACCAAGACACAAGTCCCTACTTTTTTTGTATACCACTTATTATGTAACGGTGGTTCCTTCTTATTTATTGTCACTATTTTACAAGATTGGTTTCTAAGATTTTACATTTGTCTTTAAACCTACTTGTAATTTCGTTTAAAAGTTTAATACATTTTCTAAATTAATATTATTGATTTATTGTTGTTATTGATATTTGATTATGCTTAATGGTTTTTATTGTTAGTTCTCTACTATATATATATGAGACTGTTATGTCAAATGTGTCATATTATTATGGGACAAAGTGAGTAATGCTTTAATTTATGTAATGATTGATGCGTGAAGGACAATTTCAATTCTATAATTTGATGGAGATCTTCTTTCCAAAGGGATTGAAAACAAATTGATGGAGTTTGGCAATGATGTACGGGAAGCCCTTAACCTATACGGGTGTTATATAAGGCAATTCTTGAGGCTTTGGCGTCCAAGTTTGAACTTCAATTTCATTCATACCTTACTCTATATGTCGATTTTGGTTTTTTAGATCAAAACGCATATCTTAATTATATTATGTCTAATCATCGTCATTTGCATACATAATTAGCAAGAAAATATCTCTAAAACCCGTCACCTTTTAAGGTTATAGTTGTGTAGGCATTGCGTGCAATCGTGCATAGATTTATAAGTAAATGCTTAAAGGTTGAAAATTGTAATAGTTTTGTCTAAATAATTTTATGATGAGGAAAAAGACAATTAAGAAATTAAATAAAATTATATTTGTGTAGGAAAAAGAAAGTGTCCCTTGAGGATAATTGTTGAGGATTGATCGAGGTATGAAGTGATGGTGTGTGCACATGATACCTCTGATAATATTGCCAATTGTGGTCTTTCAAAGTGAGATATGGTTAGGGGTTAACTTACATGTTCCAAGTGGGAGCCTCTATCCCTACTTTCCGAAAGCCTCTACTCACAACACAATCCTTTTCGATTATATATAATAATAATAATAATAATAATAATAATAATAATAATAATAATAATAATAATAATAATATTATTATTATTATATGGGAAATGCGACTGATCGCATCAATTTATAAGCAAGACATGCAACAAATTTATTACTTCGTGTGTATTAGACAATATAATATGTTTTATATTCATTAACATATATGAAAAATCCTCTTTAAATATACTAATTAATATCAACGCTAAAGTGTTTTGCTTTGCTTTTTAGGTTTTGTTAATGAAGCTAAGGTTGTCCCACCTTTAAGAGTGCACTTAATTAGTGTTTTGTATCCAAGACATTTTTAAAATTATGCCCTAATAAATATTACAGAGTATGCACCTGAAATCTCTTTGCTTTTAAAATTTACAGAGCTATTTTGCCTATCCACAATAAAAATTACATCTTTAATTCGTATAAGTTGAAGCTAAGGTTTAATATGAGGAGACCTATACTAGAATCGATGTGGACAAAGGATTACTATATTGAAGTTATGAGTATGAAGTCTATCACACTCGAGATCGTATTTGATGTATTTGTTACAAAGTTTTTGAATGTAAACTTTAATGTTAATTTTTCCATAGTATATATCTTTAGCATATTTTTTAGGAAAAAAAATTGTATCTTTCTCCAATCAAGAAAGAATACGATAGATAGATTGCGGAATAATCAAAATATTGTCATAAAGGATGTTTTGTATTTCTTTCTGTTGAAGACATTACCCATGGTTTTTCATAAAGTTACTTGGGTTATAAAATTTTTGTAATAATATTAAAATAAATACAATGATGCTAATATAATACGGAGTTCATAGTTAAATTTTAACAAACCAAAAAGATATTTCTTACTAAAAGATCATATATTAATTGCTAAAATGAAGGACAATTTGGTCAAACGTCACTTTCACAATTTACAAAGTTTGTAAATACCATAGATCATATATTGCCTATAAATACCATCTCTTCACAAAAACTTACACCAACACACTCTCCCATACATTCTTCTTTGAAAATTTGCTTGAAATCACCAAAACAAATCTCCTTTGCTTCCTTAAGAAATGGCAATGTCAAGGAACCTTAGTCTTTTGCTTTATGTCACTTTGATGCTTATTGCATTGACAGCAAACCAGGTACGTTACATTAGTATAACATATCTTGTAATGCTACAACCCCTACTTTCCTTTTTAGTCGTGTACATAAAATTTTTTAATCGCCTATTCTCTCATTACATTTTCAACTATATTAGTGACCGCCAAAAACTGTCACTAATTAATCTCGTAGTTTCTTGTAGTGATATACAATACAAAGTGTCATTTTATTACGTACATGAGTACATGTACTTACTTATACACTAATACAGAATTATATTAAGTTAATGTGTGTGTTTTTTACGTTTTGCAGGCTTATTGTCAATCTTCTCAACCACAAACCCAAAGTGGCCACTCACTGGTAAGTGCTTGCAACACTAACAATCCATATTAATTACTTCGTAATCAAGTTGAAAGAAATGATGATATTATGCTCTAAAAATAGAAATTTTTGTGCAATGGGTACAACCTTATATTATTTGTAACCACTAATTTAACACTATTGATTTCAATGCATAAAAGTGGTAAATTTCTTAGAAGGACGTTTCTAACTTTCATTTGCTGATTAAATGTAGGAATTTTTTTTTCTTTTTTCAAAATTATTTTGTCCGTTAACTTATATGACATTTAATAGAGAATAACTTTTTTTTTCACAAGTATGTATATGTTGGTTGGAAACTTGGCTAAAATATTTATCTAACCATATCCTGAAAAAGGACAAAATTAAATAACTCATTTTAATCTTTTTATTTATTATTTATATGCAGTACGGTGCGTCACAAGGAAGCCTCCATCCTCAAGGTAGGTTTGCCATCAAATCTTTGTGACACTAGCTAGATTAATAAGTGTTAAGACAGTATGTTAGTATGTAACACTAATAATATAGCGCGATTGATTATGAAATTGTGTAACCCCTATAAGGTGCGTTTTCAAATGTCGTACCTATTGATAACACATGTCGACTACTCTAACACGTATATTTTACAACAAATCTTATACTTTCGTACGTGTTAGTGTATGGTAGTCGACTATCACTCATACTTGGTCTAAGTATATATTTCTGTTTTTGTATCTGTATCTGTATCTGTATCCATATTCGTGACCATATATACTGACGAAGATAATATTAATGGGAATGCAGAATGTGGACCTCGGTGCACAATGAGATGCTCAGCCACAGCATACAAGAAGCCGTGCTTGTTTTTCTGCAACAAATGCTGTGATAAATGTCTGTGTGTCCCACCTGGTACGTACGGCAACAAGCAGCTCTGCCCTTGCTACAACAACTGGAAGACCAAAAGAGGCGGCCCTAAATGCCCTTAATTTTATTATCTTCTCAACTACTCTTATAACTAAGTATTTATTGCTTCTACTTCACAACTTCACTAGTTGTAGTAGTAGTAGCACTAGTAGCATAGTATGTACTTCCTTCATATCTAACTACATATTTTAAGGTCATTTTTAGGATCTACTACTACTACCCGAGAAATGATGGAACCATGTACCTAAGTTGTGGTTCATTCTATTGATGCATCGATCAATTTACATGATGTAATTCGATTATATTGTAATGTATGTTTGTTTTACGAATTATATGTAATAAATATACTATAATGTAATGAAGTTATCCAAGTTGCGTACTCGTATTACACTTCGATTTAAGAGTTTTCATTGTCATTTTTTTCCTTCTAGTTCCAAAATCGTCTATATAATTAGGGAATTCAATAGAGATTACGATATGCCATAATCGTCACGGATTATTGTCTATCCAAAATGGTTAGAGCTTAAACATGAGTTAAAATGTAAGAGTATATTGAATATTGATAATTCCAAACTTGAGAAAGATCCAAGCATTCTCAGAACATATTTAGAGGCAAAATTTTGGGAGTACAACCCAAGCAAAATCAGGAACCTATGATATTTTAAGCCCATGGACTATACTTTGGATTTGAATAGAATAAATTCAGTAACAAAATGCAGCACTATAGTTTGAACCTCCTCTGAATTGGGCTGGGCTGAGTATAAAATTTGGGCCTTGTATATTTAGTACAGTCCAAACGCAAATTCTTCTATGGAACCTAGTCCATCTAGAAATAGGTGCACCACGCCTATACTTTTGAACATTTAGTAAAAAGATATGAACAATTGCAAATTTTGAACATTTAGTAAAAAAATCTACATTGCAAATTTTGAACATTTAGTAAAACGATATGAACAATTGCAAATTTTGAACATTTAGTAAAAAAATCTACATTGCAAATTTTGAACATTTAGTAAAAATATCTGAACAATCGCAATGTACCACGCCTATACTTTTGAACATTTAGTAAAAAAATCTGAACAATCGCAAATTTTGAACATGTAGTATATTAAATACAACACTATATAATAAACATCAATTTTTTGAAAGAAACTCGTCTGACTCGTAATAATTCAATAGTTTTGTAATATAAACTGAACATTTACTGCATACAAAATGAACATTTCTTTATAAAATATGAACATATAAAATTAGATGTTTATGTTTATTTTTTGTAACATGTTCATTTTTTTTTTACTAAGGTGTTCATTTTTTGTTAAGTGTTCAAATTTTTTTACTAAGTGTTCAGATTTTATTTACCTTTCTGCACTATTTTTTTGTTTTTCTTCCATGTCGGGTTCGTCAATTTGCAGAAGAGATAGAATGTGTAGTTCAGCAATTGAAAGAGGAAATGAAAGAATTAAATTTTTCGTTAGTTTTTTTTTTTAAAAAAAAATATGTCTGTTGGGAGCGAAATTAAGAAAGAAAGAAAGTGGGAGTGTTGGGGCCTAGGTTTTCAGCGAGAAATGAAGTTTGTAGCATATATGGGCTTATGGTCCAACTATTCTAGATGGATCAGGGTGCACAATAGACTTATTGCAGTCCAAATGTACAATTCAACAAAAACTTGAGCTGTTGATAATTGGGCCTTCACAGGCTTTGAAATTCACAATTGGGAATATTTTGCAAGAATTACCTGAGTTTGCGCAGGGCCAAATAAGCAGCAAGAGAACTGTCCAAGATCAATGTTCGAGCTGAAGAAATTTCTGAGTTTGCGCAGGATGTTGTACAGGCGGTCTCATTCCGGGTGAGGTCGTGAGGAGTGTTGCCTACATGCAACATAGTAACTAGGAAATCCAAATGCTAGAAGGATCAAGTCGAGTGTAGGTTGATCGTCTAGGGGTATTAGGAAATCCACATACATGCAGAGTTAAGAAACAGCAAATCTTGGTTATGTAACCTGCACACCTTAAGTGCAGGATGTCTGAGCATTAGAACATAGACGTGTGGCTATTTATCACATATAAAATCGCGATATCTAGCATTTGGTTAGCAACTAGACCACCATTGATGCTTAATATAGCAGTTTTCAGGTCTAATATAAGCGCAGTTTATTTGTTATTTTGTCGTGGTTGAGTCTGCAGAAATGCGCCTTTTATCCCACACAATATGGTGTTGGCAATTTAACATTATAGTATGGCAACCATAGAAAATGTTAATAGGAGTAACTTGCTCAAATTGATACAATATACACACCAAAAAACACAAGAAACCAAAAAAAAAAAAAAAAAAAAAAAAAAAAAAAAAAAAAAAGATAAAAAGAAATAAAGAAGGCAAACCCAATGCTAAATAAAAGATCATAAAGAGGTTGCTTCCTCATATGATTTACTGGTATACATCTGCTAGCTAACAAAACTATTCATACAAAGATTGAAAAGAAGCTAAACCAACAACACACTATCAAATCGTATCGATTTCACCTCTTACATCTCCATGCTGATACCGAAAAAAGGGGGCGATCTTGCCAGCAGATAATAACACATCCATTCTCTTCCTTAATTCTATAACCATCACAACTACACCCTTGCAGCAATCGCCGTGCTTGCAACATGCCCATATAGCTCAATGGAACACTTCTAAATCCAGCCATATCGAGCCTTTGCATCCACCTATCGAGCTTCTCATGCCTTTCTCTTCTTTCCCCTCCTTCACACGCGATAATATTCTTGATCTCTTCCCCTAGAAGCATCTTCTCTACTTTCCTTCGCTCAAGCGATGCTCTTGGTAAGGTACTCTCTAAGCAGTCGAACAATGCAGCATAAAAGTACAATGCCTCGGACAATCTTTCCATTAGTCCAGACCCATTATGATTTGAATCTTGCTCAGTTATCACCATAATCTTCGGTGATAACCCCCACAAAGCAGCAAGAAAACCATCCATCTTTGCAGAAGCATTAACCGAGGTAGGTGATGATGAAGCAGAATCATTACTCGGGCTACTACGCCTATTTGCATTTCCTCCGTTAGCCCCATTTACATGATTAAACAATCCTAAAGATGAACTTTTCCTTAGTGTTTCATCATCAGTGACCAAAAGGGTATGAAGCTGCAGGACCGAGCTTATAGCTAAAGCCTCACCGGTCTTAACACGAAGCTTTTCGACATCAAGATTCTCCAATTTGCACACTACAGGATTAAACTGAAATGGCAAATCCAACTTCTCAGCTTCATCAATTAACCTATGAGCTACTTGTTCTAACACCTCTTTCTGTTGATGAACACCGGTTATTCTCAAATGAGGCGGACCTTCAGGCCTCGCACTCAAGGCCTGAATAAGTGCAATCCATTGTGCAGGTTCTGATGCATTAAGATCAATAATATGAACCATCTTTTCACCATCCATTGCTTCAAGAATCGATTGATTCGTTACCACGAAAGCAAGCTTTAAGAAGGGAAACAGCTCAAAATACAGCTTCCTAGCAAGAATTTCCTCTGAAACAACAGGCATTCTAGTAAACTGAAGGGCTCTATATATGCCTGGCCATGATTTAAGCACCCTTTCAGAAAGGGATTCAGCAAAATAAGCAGCAATTCGCTGCATTGTATCGCCATCAGGCGCGGCGAGGTGCGAGATTTGCTCTAGGGCTAAGTTTGCATTATCTAGGCTACCATTAGAGACATGGTTTGCACAAGCTAATAACAAATGTATCAAATAAAGACCCCTTTCTTCAGGTTTCAATTCTCTAAGCCAAGGATGTGATGAACCTATATTTGGTGACATTCTAGAGAAAAATTGAAGGGGTGAAGATGAAGTTACTGATGATCCATCATCTTGAAGCATTGGTCCCATTAACAATTACACCCCAAACCCCACAAAATTTTTATCCTTATTCAATCAAACAATCCCAAAAAAAAGGGAATTTTAAACTATCAAAATCAGAATAACCCAAAACAATCAAACAAATAAGTAACTATATAAAATGGGATTTAACAGGTAAAATTGAACAAGGGTTTTTGATAGAATAAAGAGCATGAACTAAAGCAAGAAAAAACAGAAACTTCTGAAACAAGATAGATCAGATATTACCATGAAAAGGGAAAAAACAGAGGAAACTACCATGAAAAGCTTGAAAGATGTGAAATTTGATTGAATAACACCAAACTATTTCTGGGTTTTGCAATTCAATCAAAACCCATAAAAAGCCCCCTAAAAAGTTGAGAACTTTTTGATCAAATAGCTCGAATTTCTCAATCTAAGCCTCTGTTTTCTTTCTAAAAATTGGGTTTTTGATTGTAATAAGTTAGAAAAGGAGGAGGAAGAGAGAGAAATGAAGAAGGAAATGAAGCTTTGAAGAACTCCACAACAAATGGGGGGTAACGTTAGTAGACAATGCGTGGTAGTAGTTTTTGTCGTCAACTCATTTGTTTTCTTTCTTTCTATTCTTTTATGAAAAAAATAAAAGAAGAAAAACAGAGGAATATGGAATTTATGAGAAGGAGAGCCTCATTTTTTTGTTGTTTTTTGTTAACCTTTTTCTTTTTTTACAAATAGTTTGCAGTATTTGTTAATTTTTTATTTGTGTGAATAATTAAAAATTTTATAGATACTGTACAATAATTTTACATTACTACTGTTAAATTTACCTGCTATTTTCGGGTATGTTTGTTTAATCTTATGTTAACATTTTTACTCTGTTTTTGTTTAGATGACGTAAGTTTAGACAAATACTTGTTTAATTAAGTATGAAGTATATTTTTCAAACACTTTTAGATAATATTACACACAAATGAGATAAATTTAGGAAAAATAAGGTCAGATAACATAAATTTAGATAATTTCACATAAATTCAGGTAAATTAAACCATAAAAATTTAACCATATAGAGCCTTATAAGGAATGACATGACTCAAACCGAAATTAGTCAAAATTTGAAACTGTAAGGCTATGTTTAGTTCACCTTATTTTGCTTATTTGATTTGATCTAAACTTATTTTTCTAATCTAAATTGTGTGATGGTTTTATTGATTAAATTTTGACTTTATATATACGCTAATTTATAAGAAAAATACATATCAAATGGGGTTTTATTAGATTTGTATTTAAGTGTATTTTCCAAACGTAATCTAAAAAAAAATATTATGAAACTAAAGTCATTTAGCCATAAAATAGCTCTAATGTAATGATAGGGTATCATCTAATTTGATCTGAAATAATTAACAAAACATTAAAATAAAATAAGCCATACATAGCCTAAATCACCAAGTGAGGTACTCTAAATAACTTTAAACACTGAAGTGATTTAATATAAAAAATAAAAAAATAAATAGTAATCCAAAGTGACTATTGTATAGTTTTGTCTAATGGGAAAAAGATATGGTAGTGGCTTTAATTTCAATGGATGGTTTCGTCTTAACCTGAAGTGAGTTTGGGAATCAAGGAAAAGAGCCAAAGAAAAAGGCTCCCCAAATTTATTCCCAATCAACACTTGGCTCCAAACATGCCTTAACAAAGACAAACAAAACACTCACACTTTCTCTCTCTAAACCCCTAATTTTGTTTGTTAGTGGGGTTTTGTGTTTGGAAGAGGGAATTTACATGGAAGCTCACAATTAATAAAATTAAAATTATAAATAATTAAATTGGTTTTTTTGTTTGAAAGCCAACACCACAAAGACACATACAAATTGGTATTTATCCCATTCTCCTTATTTAAGACAAACGGGACAAGGTGGTTAAGGATCCTTCCAAAAGTAGATACCACTTTTATCTTTTTTTGTGGACTCTCTTTTTTGTCCTTTTACCCAACTACTTTTTTATTTTTCAAGTTTTTTTTCTTTGTATTCAATTTTATTTTGGGTACAATGTATACGTAAGTTAATGCAACTATATTCTTGTTTCAACAACAAAAAAAAATGCAACTATATTTCTTCTAGAGAATTAGTTTTGATTCAAATCCTTTATTTAGATTAGGGATTATAATGCTTGTTTTTCATAAGTTCATGTGATATTAAGTGAATATCGACTTGAATGTTTGGTTCAGCTAATCTAATATGCAAAATTAAATATGATCTCGTTCCACAAACAGACGTTGGTTGTTGGTTGGTTTATTTATTGTATGCTTTTATATGTGTATTCAATCTGGCCTGTTTTATCTATAGAATGATATTTTTAAGGTTTTAATGAAAAAAAAATTAAGTTACATTATTATAAATTTACAAGTATATTAAATTCTTTTTTTTTTTTTTTTTTTGTTTAGGTCTTTAAGTTGTTTTACAAATGATGTGTACATTCACAATAAACATTTTAGCATGATACAAATTTTAATTTTAATTTTATTTTTGACTGGAATAAAAAGGGAAGATGTGATATAAACGTGTAAGTCACTTTCCCTTGAAAGATTATGTTTAAAAGAAATTTTGTTCAAAACTTGACTATAATTTTGTTCAACAATATACAAGTTTATTGATGCTTGATAGACCTAAAAATGAAAGATTCTTTTTTTGTCACTAAAAGATAGTTCCATTTTTCATCATAATGCTTTATTAGCTGATTTTGCAAATTTCAACTTTTTGTCTTTTTCATTTTGTCTTCAATGTAAACCAAGAAGTTTTGTAAATGAAAAAAAATCACAAATATTGATTATAAAATCATAAATAGTGAAAGAAATTTGACTGAGTTACTAATACGTGTGAAATGGAAAATAACCTACCACATAATATTTTTTAAAGCAATGCCTAATTTTCATTATGAGTACATCTATTGTAGGTTCCTTTAATTCACCCTCTTGGAGAAACTACTTGTATACTTTTTTTATGGAGTAATACTATTTAGAAAATTATGCTTCATATGTAATGTTATTTAGTAAATTATATACGTTCGTACGCACAAAAAAATTAATCCGTATAATCCTATGAAAATAGATGATTATGTCCGTTCCGCCTAATTCATCCTACAATTCATTTTTTCTACAAATAACAAAGTGTACTTTGTTATCTAAATTGTTTACTTATATACTACTCCATACTTCGTATATCTTATTAAAAATCACTATTATACTCTATAAATGGTTATTCTTTAAAACAGTGGCGGATCCAGAATTTTCAATTCGGGGGGACAAAATGCTTAACTTACAAAAAGCTTAACAAAAAATAAAAACAAAAAAAAAACTCAAACACACAAATTGGTTAATACTTAGTATTAAAATTTCAAATGGTACATTACAAGTACTTGAACCACCCATTTCCATATCATCTTCTTGACTTTGAGGGGAGCTTAATGAAGGGGAGTTATTGGACTCATTTTCATGGAGTTTCTTTCTTTTAAACATGAATTGTCGAAGATCGGGTTGTTTTCTAGTAGCCTTGGATTTGTTTGAATTAGGTGAATCATTTGACATTTCCTAATTAAATTGAAATATATATATCAATTTCCACAATTCACACCATTGCATAATAATAAAACGGTAAAATCTAAGATTAAAATTGCAATTAAAATTAAAATTCAACAAAGATTGCAATTAAAATTAACAATAATTAAACAAAAATCTGAAAATTAGGGTTAACAATTGTCAATTGGAGATTTCAAATTGGGAATTTCGAATTAGGGTTAGCAAATAGCAAGACATACCATTGATGTTGATGAAGCGAAGACGGCCGAGGCTCGACGGTCAGACTGTGGTTGCCTGGTTGCACGCAGGCGGTGCCGGTGCACGCAGCTAGTGAAGAGGTTGCCGAACTGCCGATTTGCCGAAGACCGAAGTGGTGCTGTGGTGACTTGGTGAACTGGTGAGTGGTGAGGAACTGAGAGCAGCGATGCAGCAGGGCGGTGGTTGCCTGGTTGGTGGAGCAGCGACGCACGCCTCGACGATCGATCTCAGTGGATGCAATGGCGAATTGGAGGAGTGAAGACTGACTGTTGTTGGTTGTTCTTCATTCTGTAGCAGTGTCGCGTTTTGCTTTTTTTTTGTTTTTTTTTCACTTTTTTTATTTTTATTTTTTTTTTAAAAATGGGGGGACAGTTGTCCCCCCATGTCACTTAATTGGGTCCGCCACTGCTTTAAAAACTCTTACATTTCTCTCCAAGATTCTAAAAGTAGAAATACAAAGTAGATTATTTTTATACTAAAAGATCAAATACACTATAAGAAATACTTCATAGATTTGATTTTATTAAAATTAAAAAAAAAATAAAAAATTATTAAGAGGCCCTTCTCACGAATAAAACCCATAACGCGTAAAAAAGTCGTAGAAAATTTATTGATTGATGTTGTACCATATTAACCGTACTAGAACCAAAATTTGTGTAATAAGACAAAACATTTACTGCGACTTTGAAGCAAAAGTCCAAATAAGCAATTCATAGACTCAATAATAAGTATATATAGGGGGATTAATTTTGTCTTTTTAGGCCACCGACTAATTTGAAGAGAATTAGTACAATGTATTTTTTGTAGGTAGAAAAGTAGTAGTAGTAGTAGCTGATTATAATGACATCTAATTAATTAGGTGTGCTTTCAAAATTTTATTAGTACAACACAACATGTATTTCTCTTTTAAGTCATCTAATTGGATGTTTTATACTAGTGATCAATATTGTTGTTTGGTAACTACTTTAGTTTTGGAAGTGGTTATGTTTATGTTTATTCCACTGGTTAAACCATTACAACTAACATTACCACTATCTATAACTTGTAATCTTGGTTATGATTTACTTGTATGTGTTAGTGCATTGCTGAAATTGCGTGGCTCGATTTTCACTCTAAGTCGAATGGATCTAGTCATAACTAAAATTTAATGTAATTAATATTGTATTGTTTAAATTGTCACTTCAATAAGTAATTGAATTATTCAGCTTATCGTTCAACTATACTGATTAAAAGTAACCTTATTCCCGTACTATTCAAATGACTTATTTGTCGCGTAAGATTACACGTTCGTACCGTGTTATCGGAATACAAGTATTATTCTTGCCTAATTTCTTTGAATGAGAGGGAGGGTCATAGCACCAAAACCATGTGGGTAACCTAGTTCATGAAAGTCCAATATTTTACAGAATAGATCCAGCTATAACTCTATTTTTTGGGGTCAGTCATCATGTAAAATGACAGCAAATCTAACGCTCCATCTACTAGAATTTTTCTAAGGAAAAAGAGTAATCAGAAAGTTTCTTAATTTCTTTTTTGTTTTTTCTTTGCAAATTATCCTTAAACTGTTTTAAACAGTTCCCAAAAGTTTGAATAAAAATCCACCAGTGCTTTCCTTTGAGTCATGCACATGAGATCATACAAAAATAAATAAATTATAAAATCATTGTAACTTAAATTTATATTCTAAAGCTATGAAAGCAATTATCTATTCAGAATTTTGAGCTTAATATGAGTTTAAAACTAATTATGGTCAAAATATGACCAGTCAAATTATACTTTTGCTTTGTACCCAAAAAAAAATTATGCTTTTGGCTTTTTTAGAAAAGTTTTCCTTTGATCAGAAAAGTTACATTAGATTCTAGTAGTGAAATCTAATATCCTGCTTACTTTGATCATGAATCTTGTATTAGTGCTTTTAAAACTACAGTAAAAGATTAATATTTTCACTTTTTTTTCAACAAGATTAATATGTTCACCAAATAGGAAAATACATAATTTTACAAATTGATTCATACTCCCTATATAATTTACTTAATTTTGACCATTAGTATTTGATTATGAGTTTGTGACTTTGTTTTAAAATATAGATATAGTGTATCACCATCATTAATGTCACAATGGAACGCTACATAATACAATTTTCTAAACTTATTTAAAACCAAGTGATTTCTAACCCAAAACCATGATAACAAGCTCGATAACAATCATAAAGTCAAGAGTTGGAATTATGATCGTAGAAATCTATATTTCTGATTTGGATTTGTTTATCTTGACCATCTAAATTTGAATTAATTCGCGTTTATACTTTTTTTTTTTTTTTTATATATAAAACGGAATCTATAAAGATTAGGAATGCTAGAAATACATAAATATTTATGATTAGGTTGACTGTTCAGCTGTAAAACCGACTGACTAAACAATGTAGTTATAGTGGGACTGCAAATGCAGCTTGAATACAGAAACTTGCAGACAAACAACTTAATTTGGATGACCAATTGTCTTTGGAATCACATGAATTTAGTGGAGTTTTTGTTGAAACCCACGTTCACCTGTTTGAAAAATGCAACCCTCAATGTTATTATTAAACTCTAACTTACACTAAATCATAGGAGTAACATTTATTCTCAGCTAAAATTCATACAGTTTGTACAGTGGATTTATTCTCAGCTAAAATCTCACTTGAAAGATTCATCGTTTCCAATCCAGCAAAAGACAGCGACCGCCTCATAAGAAGCCATATGCAGCCACACTCAGCCATATGACGCGATGAATTGAAGATGATGCACCCTGATGAACATTGCATCGTCAAAGTCACCAACTACAGTCATGAGTCTTATGAAACTGACGTAGCCTAGCTGCAGGAGAAGGAACTATATTAGTAACACTGAATGATTCATCAGCTAGATATAGATTATTTCTATCCACAATAATGTATTCCATCCATCAAGAATTAGAAGTCACATTATCCCAATTATGACAGGATTTCACAAAATAGTCAGGTTGTCATCTTAATTGACATACAATTGATACTATATTAAAAAGGCGAGCTATTTCCAGACGTCCTAAAGATTTTTTATATAACCATATCATCTATAGTTAAAGCATTCTTGGAATAGGCCAATGTCCTGCATTACTCTTCTTCATTATGAATTTATAGAGGCTAAGGTCGATCTAAAGATGCACGTTATGGAATATAACTTTGTAGCCCCACCAAAACGGGGGAAATTAAAGGGAGAAACATGCATCCATGGCCCCAAATACTGATCAGAAGTGACAAACTTATAAGCACAGACTACATATCAGAATGATGGAGTTAGAGATATAAATACCTTGTCAGATACCGTAGCCAGGTCACAGATAACTCCTGGTGCATAGACGACCACTAAGATTTAACTTGATCACCATATCCTCTCATTTGGGCAAGACAAACAGCAATCCTAGAACCAGTGGTGGCATTATTCTTTACAAGAGCGATATCTAGATGCAAGTCAAGAAAATGTATCAACTCATGTAAAACTCAGGTCAATTAAGCATTCGACCCGTGTCAGACACTGTGAAGCAAAACACTACTATTTCACAACTTTGAACTTTAAAAACACTAGTCTGAGGGGGGAAAATGGGTGAACTTGTAATATTGTAAGGGTTTCAAAGGATACTAGAAGCCAAAGAAGCTCCTCCAGTTAACTCATTCACTCTTGAAAGCAAGAAAGGAGTTTCAGCACTGCCCTTTATATTTTTCTCCCTGAAAATATATTTCAAATGAATTCTTGTAAGGAATACCAGAGACACTACAAGCAACTATATCAATAGTTGAGCATTTTTCTGAGAAGAAATCTAACTTTGCTTCCATCAAAGCCTTCTGTATTGCAGATTCAACTAAGCTACCAGAAGCAGAATGTTCTTTGGGAATAGGAACTGCAATTAGCACACCAGTTCCGAGATTGAGTTTTGTGTTGGCTTCTGCATCCAAATGATTCCCATCAGTAATATGAATAACAAGGACCGTACAGCATTAGAATTTAGAAATCAAGAATATTGTAAATTATTTGTCATGCACCTATTAACCGGGCAGCATCTTCTGGGGAATCCACACGGCAAGAAACCTAAAAAACAAAAAATATTAGGTGACATAGATTTCACAAGGTTTATGCTATGTACAGGTACAGCATATTACAGGAGACCTGAACTCAAGTGTATTACACTCACTGTGCAAGTAAAAAATACATGACAGAAAATTAACGGAAACCAGATAAATGCATACAAACTCCCATAGCTTTCCCTTAATTCACATCCATTGAAATGTAAGTATGTAACACAAGGTTTATAATCACCTGAAAATAATCTCTAAACCACAGCTTGGAAGCCAAATAAGCTGCTATGGCTGTGCTACTATTTTCATCATAAAGGTATTTGAAGTATGCTACATATGTGATGTGAATTATTTTGAATGGAATAATAAGACAAAAGGATATCGAAAAGTATTTATTGGAAATTTGATGGCTTCATTACTGCCACAATTTTCATATTAAAGGTATTTGAGGTACACTCTACATATGTGTTGTGTATGAGCGAACATATATAGAACTATAAGAAACATATATAGATAACAAAAATGACTTGATGGCAATATTATAAAACAAACATCCGATTCCAATTTTTCCACTTGCAAAAATAGTGGAAATATAGGAATGCCAAAGGTACCTTACAGCCACTTGTTTCAGTAAAAAAAGCAGGAAATTCATTGGTTCTGTATCCAGCAACACACACTCCCTGAGTTTCCTGCATCAAACACATGGGATAAAAATAGATCTTGAATATTGATAGAAGCAGCGAAAGTGATGCAAAGTCTGAATCTCTCAAAGGTATCGCACCAAATACTCGAGGGTTCTAGGTATGTCAAGTATTGATTTAGCACCAGCAGAGACCACTGCTACTGGCGTCTTCCCCAACTCAGTAAGATCAGAAGATATATCCATGGCTGCAAATAATATATTAATATCAAGAATAAAGTATTGGTTACTGAAAGCTGACAGATAAAACTCCTTTACACATATCGAAACTATTCCATGATTAAAAGTCAACAAATTATCATTATCGGCTTAAGGCATTGTCAAGGAGGGGGTGGAAGGGGAAGGGTATGGACAAATAAACCTCTGCACATGCTAAGACAGAAAAGGTACAGGCCATTAACAGAAAGTACCATTTGTTGCACAACAAGGAATGTTTTTGACTATCTCACATAGAACCCTTAAAAAAAAAGGCTTCTATAAACTTCTATATGCACTACAGCATTCTAAAAACAACCTCTTATTCAACAAGCTAATAAATACGCCTGGTGCTTCAAATGCACTAGAAACAAAATTATGCATCGCCAAACTAGGAAATCGGCCAGTATGATTTACCATAATCAAGATACAAATCAAAATCAGATGTTACAACAACAGGTCAGCAGAAATAACATTACTCCAACAGCTCTAAACAGTCTCTCAGTCAAATTGGGTTGAAGAGGGTGTGCTGTCTGCAGAGTGCAGAATGTCAATTTTTTTTATAAATGCAAAAACAAGGGAAATGGAAGTGAGAAGACCTCAGTAATAGAACTTCTGAAACCACAGGACAATCTCAATATAAAGTATGAGGCTGGAGTGTTATTGCCCTATGGCAAAATTTCAAACCTGGTTAGGCTAGGCCAAGTATACTAACTTTTGTATAATTGTCACAGTATAAGAAATGGTAAAATTACTTTGCTCTCCATGCCTGTGTACTCCCCCGATACCCCCAGTCACGAAGACGGAAATGGCAACCTGCAATTGCAATCACGACAGTAAGCCAAAATCTGGAGATAGGAAAGGACACAGAGAATTATGCTATGCAATCTGCTGCTGGGGAAAAGGCTGACCATTGATGCAAAAAACATTGTTGCTGAAACAGTTGTAGCACCATCTACTCCAGCAGCAACCTAAGCAGGCATGAGATAAGTTATTGACTTTAAATGACACTAAAACTAACTGTTGTGCATGCATGTACAAGACGCAATCGTTTGTTGAAGAAACATTAGGCCAAGCGAGACAACTAAGAGTTGAGAGGAACTATGATCTTTGAGAGAACAACCACAGCAGTTCAGGCAGCTTGACACTTGTGCAGAGATTTGCAGGCAGTACAATGAGGCTAAAGTGAGCAAAGTGCACAGAAAAAGACAGTGTAATAAGGACATGTCTAGATTCCTTAGCATGGGAAATATATACTAAGCAGACAAATAACAATATGTAATAGCAGCTCGCATATGCTCTACAGAGGTCAGAATTAGTAGGATTTATGAGACAATGTTACCATGACATATCATTATCCTAACGCCTTTAGTAGCCTAGGGAGTCTAATATATACAGCCTTACCTATAAATTACTTTTAATGAATAAGATTTACCCAGCAGCTGGTTCTATAAAAACTAAACAAAGACAATAAAAACTACAGTTATATATTATTGCTTTAGTAATAAGACTAATAACAATAAATGCTTATATTTGATTCATTTTACTTTCATACAGCCAGACAAAAAGAAGATGGAAAAATTGTAGGTGGCTAAGTTGTATTATGGATTCAGACTCTCAAGAGAACACAATCCATGACTGTCCCTGACATAAGACGGAGCTAGGCAACAAAATTGGAGCAAAAGCTTGTCTTCTAGTCATCTCAAAATGTCTTTGAATCAAAAACCATATTGCATGGGTTGATTAGCTCTCTATCATATTCCACATCCATTTCTTCCCAACAAATGATGTCGGAATAATGCTAAAAAATAACCAAGACGGCAGAACAAGCATGGTGCACTTCGCAAAGCATATTCAGACTTATAACTAGTATTAATATCACTCTATACCTAGCTAGCCCCCCATGCTGGAACATATGCAGTTTCATAGTAAATCACTTTGACTCCATCAGGAATAGAGTTTCTTTAAGCGGTTCAGCCTCTAACAAAAAAATTTAGAAACTTCTAAGTATTCTAACAGAAATATATTTCCTTCATTGCTTGTGGGTTTACTCTGTTTGAACTTAACAACTTTAATGTCCTTAACAGAGAACGGTCTGAAAAAAATGGAGACTGAAGTATGATTACATAAGAGATCACCATGCACAAGTTCCAGTATCAACGATTAAAGTAAAGCACTATTCTAACAGGACAAAAGTGACAAAGGTGCTGTGCTCAGAAACAATCCAAGTATATAAAGAACCAGAGGTAGATGGCAGCGGATGAAGGAAGTTATGCAGCTAATGCTAAATATGCAATGGACACTTACAACAGCAGCAATGTCACGACGAGCAGTCTTTCGAACTTGCGCTCCTGTTTTAGCAAGCCTCTCCAACTCTTCAATCTGGAGACCTAATTTTGATTCAAATCACCTTAGAGACTAAAGACAACACTTCAATGCTTTCCAGCTTGCTTAACAGTGATGAAATATTCCATAATAGCATTGATGCCAGGTTAATATGATGAAACATTTAGTTCAATTATCAACATGAAAAGTCATAAAAAGGAAATCTAAAAAATTATCAAGTGAATATAGTTAAATGCAAAGTCATTATAGACAATAGTGATAGTACAACATAAATTCAAAGGATTGGAAAATAAGCACCTATACGCGGAATTCCATCCAATATAGCAATGGTTGCAGGAATCGCTCCATTGTCTCTCACGATTGCTTCAATTTCCTTTGCAGTTTTAAAATTTTGAGGGTAGGGCATTCCTAATATCATCATAAACAAACCACAATCAGCAATGGTATCAAATATTGGCAAATAGAACTCAACAATACAAAATAGCCTTTATTTCATTCTATCCATCCATAAATTAACCCGCTCACTTCATTGGAGTGTAGCTTACGGACGGGCACAAAATTCTATTTGCACATCCAAGTACACAAAAACACTTAAACTCACACCACACCCATAGTTCCTGTTCAATACCCGAATCACTTAGCTTTACATAAGTCACCGGCTGCACGATAGCCCAAAAAGACCTTAGTTTAGCCAGTTAACAAGCTAAATCCAGATGTCTAAAATTGAAAGAACAATTGGAAAACCATAATCCATTTTACTTTCAATTACCCAAATTGCATTTCAATTAAACAGGCCATAGTTTCAACAGCAACTCAACATCTTCCTAGCTAGTAAGTAGTCACAACAATTTCACTTTCAATTTATAACAACTGTACAATTTAACAATTGATTAAAAGGGATTTTTCAGTTCAGCAATATAATGTACAACAACAATATCAAAGCCTTAATCCCGAGAAGACGGGGCCGGCATCCCGATAGAACGGGATCGGGTGCATGAACCAATGATACATGAATTACCATGACAAATAATAGTTGATTCCAGTGCAACAACAGCTGCTCCACGAGATAGAGCATCAGAAACTTCTGGGCTAACTTTGATCAACCCACCCTACAAATTTTTATAATGCAATCGAAATTTCCTTCATTCATTCATTTGATAATAAGAAGATAAAATAATTTTAAAACCATAAAAATCAATGTAGAAAAAAATGGCGGGAAAAACCTCGAAAAGATGAGAGGTTGAAGAAGAAGAAGCAGGGTGAGGATAAAGGTGTCTTGTAATATTAGAGAGTCTGGAAATTGCTGCTGAATCCATTGTTGTCGATCGGAAACTTCGAATGAGTACGATGCGGTGGTGATTGATGGTGGTTGGCGGCAGCGATGACGGCGGAGAGAGAGAAAATGGGGCAGGAATTGTTTAGCAGAAGATGATAGTGATGAACTGATGATTAGAATGAGGAGTGTTTTAAGGTTAACTAAACTATTCTCGTGCGATGAACAATCAAGATTTTTTTTTTTTAGTTTATAATCTATTGCATTATGTTATATATGAAGATTAGAATTAGATTTAAAAATAATTAATATTTAAGGAAAGTATAAATAAAAAAAATTGAAACCATGAGTAAATATTAAACAAATTAGGTATGCGAAATTATAATTTAGGAGGGAAAATTGGTTAATTGAATTTTATATAAACAATTATACGTTGAAGTCAAAGGTGTAGATTGAAAATAAAGATAAAAATCATTAATAATTGATGATATCACACATAGAATTGGAAGGAAAATTTTTAATGTGAGAATGACACATAGGATAATTTAAAAGTTGATGATGTGACCAATGTTTTTTTAGTATTAGTTAATAAAATCGGCGGCAAAATGCTTCTAAATCTTTCAAGCTACTTGTAATAAGCATGCATGATACTTCGTACTAACAAAATTGAATTTTGACTATTATAATACGGAGTAATAATTATTTAAATGGGAGATAATACAAGTTTATCCCCTTGAAAGTGGTAAATATGTAATAAAATTGTTTCGATATTTGTGCTTCTACAGTTAAGGTATTGTTTGGTTACACTAATTTCTCATGGGCATTCAAAATTCCTGGGAATAAATCTAAACCTCTTTCTAACTTCACAAAACTCTCTGTTCTCTCTCCTCCTCCAAAGGAAACCTCTGCCGAAAACACTAATTTCTCATGGGCATTCAAAATTCCTGGGAAAGTTACCGTTTCTCCGGCGAGGTTCCTCCCTTCCCTCTGCTTTTAATCTGCGAGGTCGCCGGCGAGAAAGTGTCCTCCGTTTTCGTTTCCTCCACTCCTCGTTCGGCTCTGAAGTGGCTTCAAACTCAGAGAGTCGCCGAAGCTCCGGCCGCCGCGGCCTCCGCGTCCTCTTTCCCCCTCCTCTGTCTTCTTCTTCTCTTGCATTCCGTTTCTCTTCCCCTTTATTTTCTTTCCCCTTCTTGGTTTGGTGGTTTCCTCACACCGTTATCCTCCTTCTTCTTGGGGATTTTAATCCTTTGGAGGGGTTGTGAGGGCCTTTTCTAAGTATTTGAAGGTTCTGAGGGGAGTGTTTAGATCATCCACCTCTGTCGTCGTTGCCCACCTTTGTGTGGAAGGTTTGTGTTCGTTCAAAGGGTCTCACCGCCGGTGAAACAAGGCCTAAGGACTAGGCCTAACACCGCCGTCATAAAGGTCATCGGTATTTTTTACTGTGACGGAAACGGTAAAGTTAGGGTTAGGGTTTCGTAGGTCCTTGCGCCGGAGGGCTAGGTCTAACGCCGCCGTCAAGAGTAGTTAGTGACGAAAACGATGAAGTTAAGGCTAGGGTTTCGAGTTTCCTAGTGTAAGTGGTTTCGGGTTTTTGGTTTGGACGGTGCTCTCCTCTGGTTTGTTCTCTTTCTTAAGTATGGTTGTTCTTAGTATTTATCAGAGTTTATTTGCCTTAGTTTGTGTTACGGTATGTTTTAGCCCCCTTTGGTTGTTTTCCGGGCTATTTAGTTGTTTTGGCTATAGTATTTTGGATGGTTGTGTGCAGTGGGAATTAAGATCCTGTGTTAAGGAATGTAGTGTAGTTTTTATGGTAAGAGAGGTTAAAGGTGCGATTGTTGGGGGTTTGAACAAGAAGTTAGCCTTGGCTAAGGTGAAGTGTGTACGTTGTTGGAGTGGTATGGGTTTGGTTTCTCTTCCCCCTCGGATGTAATGATTTTTTTGGTCATTACTCCTGATTCTTATTATCTGAAGCAGGCGCCCAAACTTTGTTTTGGGGTTTCTCGAGCCTCAACGTTGTCAAAGCTTTCTTGCCAACAAGGAAAGCTATTGATTGGAAGGCACTAGTTCAAGTGACCCGTTTGATGACCTTAATAGGTGATGAGTTTATCTCGCCAGGTAAGGATTTGCTAGCCATGGTCAAACAGTTTCGATCCCCTCCGTTGCTCTCTTCATGGAATGTAGTATGTTTTTGCTCCTTGGTTTGTAAGGAGTCCCTAATCTGCGACTTATTCGGCCAATTCAAGTTTATTTTCGTCTTTAGTCTCAAAAGTTGTTATAACGCTTTAGTGGTAAAAGCCATAGTTTAAGTTTAAGTTCTTGTTCTATAGGTTGTAAACTCTGATTTTATGAATACATTTGCTCTTGTCAAAAAAAAAAAAAAAAAACACAAAATTCCTGGGAAATGCAAAAATTGTGAGTTGTTTGGTTAATGAAAAAAGTGCAAAATGGAGGAAGTTGGAATCCCATGGGAATTTTAAGTTTCCACATAATGTAGGAATTAAATTACCTAGTTAGATTCCCCTAGGTCATTCAAAATTCCTATGAATTGTGATTTCCCTAATGTCTACCAAACAAATTAAAATAATTTCCTAGGAATTGTATGAGTGAAATAACTTCCCATGAATTGTAAATTACCAAGGGAAGTTATTTCCCATTGCAACCAAACAAGGCCTAAAAAAAATTTCATGTACATTTGTACAGTTGACAATAAAATTGTCAGAAAACAGCATTGATTCAAAAAATTTAATGTCGTTTGGTTACATTATTCATGGTGAAAGTTTAGAAGCATACAAGAAGAAACATCTATGGAGAAAGCACATAAACTTCAATTGAGAAATCAAGAGGGAAAGCTCATCTACTATTTGGGGTTAATCATGCCCTTTATTTCTTCGTTTTCTCTTAGGGATTTTTTTTTTAATTTGGCCAGCAATATTAACACTGTTTGATCACATTATTCATGGCGAAAGTTTAAAAGCATTCAAGAAGAAGTATCCATGGAGAAAGCTCATAAACTTCAATGTAGTTAGCACCGGTTAACCGGTGCTAAATGCTTTAGTTGACACCGGTTTTGAATCGGTGCCAAATTTTCATGGATTTGGCATCCCTCAAATCCCCAACGGTTCAAAACCGGTGTCAAAGGGGGGGGGGGTTTGAACCAATGCCTTTTTACCTTTTTCGTCTAGTGAGCTCACCTACCATTTTTGGTTAACCGTGCCCTTTATTTCTTCATTTTCTCTAGGATTTTTTTTTTAAATTTGCCGAACATGGTGGTGTTGGTGATGATGTCAGTGTCGAATAAGAGGATAGAATATTAATACAAATATGGACATGGTGGTGTTGGTGATGATGAAGGTGGGTGTGTGTATTGTGAATCGGATGAAGAGCAAGAAAGACGAAGTTGCTTTTGCATCAAATGGCGTTAGTAAGAAGGTTAAGTTACTATTCACTACCAATTACAAATTTGTCCTTCGCTTGATTGTGGAAATGAATGTTTATCAAGGTGATAAACTACTAGTCTTGCTTTTATAGTAGTTGTTAAAAATATTTTCTATACTTTTAAGGGAAAAAATTTTGAATTTTGACCTTTAACAAACAATTAACTTAATTTTTATATGTATAAATAACAACTAGTCAACATCTATTTTATCGAACATGTTTTAATTATTGTATTTATCTTCACAGTTAAGGTCATGTTCTCTTCACCATCTTAACAAAATAATATTAGGTAAAAATAATTTCAGTCTGTAAAAGTAATTTCAATCCAGTAACAGTAACTTTAAAGAAGAAATAAACTTGAAAATCAGTAAAAAATAATTTAAGTTCAGTAAAAATAACTTTACTTCCAAAAAAAAAAAAAAAAAGTGAGGCAACTAACAGTTACCCGCATAGCCACACCATGTGTCCGCTTGTAAAAAAACAATGTTCCCATGTAACACTGACCGAGTAACGCTTATAACACTTATTGAGTAACCTCTATAACACTAACGAAGTTACCCTTGTAATACTGATTGAGTAATCCCTACAACACTAACAAAGTAACCTTCATGATATGTAAAGTGGGTGTAATCCCTTATAGCTATATTTTGGTAAAAAACAGGGTCTTAAACTCTTAATGTTTGAGAATCACTAATAAACTGGCAAACTGCTACGGTGTATATGTTACTATACTTACCATGGGCTATACTACCTATACTATCTATTGTAGCCACTTAGCCCATGTTTTGCTCACCTGATTTCCTTAACAAAATTTTACAAGTAGATTAGTAAAATAAATTAAGTACGTAAAATAATTTTTATTTAGTAAAAAAAAAAAATCAGCAATTTTAAAGAACAAATAATTAGCAAATCGGTAAAGATTAATTATTTTAATTAAAAAAAATTAAGTTAGTAAAATAATTTAGTTTTGTAAAAATAATTTATTTTAACGTGAAGGAAACATGAATTTGATTCACAAACGATAGATAAACCATTTAATTAGAGATAAAATAAAAATATTAAAACCCCCGAAGAAAATAAACTGGATAAGGTCCTCATCCACTGAGTAGGATTTCATGGCAGCAACAAAACCGTCATTCCCTCCAATTCCAGCTTACACCATAAAAAATCAAAGAAACCCAATATTTTTTCAATCAATTACTCCTATTTCTTTGATACCCACAAATTATTATTACAAATGTTGTTATTTAAAGCACAATTTTGAGAAAATTTGCTCCATAAAATCATCTCCAATCGTAAGTGCTGTGAAACAAGATGAAATTCAATCATCCGATTCAGAGGCATCCAAGTATCCTTCAGCTTCAACTTCTAAGTTGGTTCTTGTTGTTGGTGGCACTGGCGGTGTTGGTAATTTTTTTTTTGCTTAATCTTTTCATTTATAAAGTTTATGAATGTATATATTTTTTTTTGAGGGGTTTAAGGTTGCTTAAGCCATGATTAGATTGTTGGTTTTACTGTATATTTCATCAAGTATAAGTTGGACGAAATATTTCCTAATAATAAACAAATGAGCGGATATTAGATTTTACCCGAGTGAGAGTTAGGTTCTTAGCCTATTAGGTACACTCGGGTGTAAACTAGACTCTCTAACTAGAGGATGCTCGTGTGTATCCGTGTATACTAGACTCTCTACCCACACCTATAATTGAAATATGTTATGTAATGAATTTCACCTGTGTGTATTAAAGAATTTGAAAGTTGTAAACCTGTAAATCAGGAACTGCATATGATGCCCCTATGATAGGAACCCTTAAGATTCAGAGTGATAATCTTAATATTTTTTGTATTCCACAAGTTTATTTTGGTACATAAATATAGATATGTTTATATCTTGGAATGATATGAAATAGAAAGTTTTGGTCTTGTAATGAAGTGTATTGATTGAAGGAGCGAATAGGATGCTAATTAGCTTAGTTGGTTGTACTCTAGGGGTGGTACACTGGTACCTAAGACTAGTAATTCAATTCTATGCTAATTAGTTTAGTTGGTTGTACTCGTGGGGTGGTACCTAAGACTAGCAATTCATTACATCAAATCATTTACCCTTTGTAGCTCCTCGTTAATTTGCCTGGTTGGTTATAGTCTAGGGGTGGTATCTAAGACTAGGAACATAATTCTGTCTACACCATTTACCCGCTATCTCTACAGCAAAGAAATGTTAGGTGTGAATTTGAAGGACATGCAACTACGATGTTACTCTCTTTAGTCACTTAGAGAGTAGCAACTGCGAAGTTTGTATGGCCTCACTAAGAAACCCGAAGCTTTCACGTTGATCCTAACCTTATCTTCTACTCGTAGCTACTTTACATATTGGGTGGTACTGTGGTAGAAGCTAAGGTCAGGCTAAGGCTCACACTTGGAAGTAGAGAATGGAAAAATAATTGGAATAGTTTTTCATTTGCCTTGGGAAATGAGGGTAATGATTTTATTTTTGCTACATTTGGACAATGTGTTACCTTACCTCTCCCCGAGAAATGTAGATTTCATGTGGTTATACAAGTGAAGGTCCTTGCTGATTTTTTGTTGAATATGTAGAGATTATTGTATACATAGTATTTATACAATATAGGTCCCTGTGATTATGGTTGTGGTCCTAACATTTCATCTATGAGACTAAACCGTACGTTTTGTTGTTTCTTTTCAGGGCAGATTGTAGTGGCATCATTGCTCAATCGCGATATCAAAGTACGTCTTTTATTACGAGATCCTGAAAAGGCAACCAAATTGTTTGGTGAACAAGATGAAGAGAAATTACAGGTAATAATTTTAATATGCTAACATGATTTCCTGTTGTGAAATAGATTTTAGTTTATCATAGTGTCCGAATTCATTTGTTTTCCTGTGGGGAATTAAAGTTTATATTGAAGGAGCTTTTAGAACTCTGACAGGTGTGTAAGGGGGACACAAGGAACCAAGAGGATCTTGATCCATCAATTCTCGAGGTCTGTCCTAATGAAAACACAGTGACTGAATTCAATCTAGTTTACAATGCTGATTAAACCAATAGACTGATAATGTTGGTAAATTCTGGACATAATTTTCCATTTAGGGTGTCACACATGTTATATGCTGCACAGGGACGACAGCTTTTCCTTCACGGAGATGGGATGGAGATAATACACCTGAAAGAGTAGGTATGTTGCTTCTTTAATACTGTAATGCTGACTACTTGCTATAAAGTCATAAAATGTAACACTGGAAGGTTGCTGCAGCTAAATTTCAGTATATACTTCCTCTGTCCGGAATTTATTGGATATTGTAAAAAAAAAAAGAGAAGATAGCCACCCTCCCTAGAAAGAAGTATGGTGTATGGGTGAATTTCCTTAATATGTCCTTAAATTTAAGTGGTGGGAGGATGATAGGGCTATCTTGAGAGATTAGGACAATATGACAATATTTCCGGACAGAGGGATTACAACTTAAAAAATGTGGCAACTTATACACTGTACATGTTTTTGGGTACAAATGTCAGATCTTTGTGCTGATGACTGATAACTTGTGTGTACTATTCTGAAGATTGGGATGGAGTAAGAAACCTCGTATCAATACTGCCCTCGACTCTAAAAAGATTTGTTCTTGTTTCATCAGTTGGAGTGACCAAGTCCAATGAACTACCATGGAGGTATGACTTCTTCATGTATACATAATTTGAGAATTGATGACTGATTTGAACAAACTTTTAAGTAGTACGGAGTATGTTGAACAGCTTTTCTAATGTTCATCCTGCAGCATCATGAATCTTTTTGGTGTTCTGAAGTACAAGAAGATGGGAGAGGATTTTCTTTGTGATTCTGGCATTCCTTATACTATAATCAGGTTTGAGTTGTGAATATTTGATTAATTTGTTAGGATTTGATAGATTTGGTATATGGTATTTCACGGAGGATAATAATTAAAGATAATAGAGGATGCACATACACACAGAACAATTTGTATGAACATTATCAGATCATCATAAACACAACATTTATCTTAACATTCTAATATTGTGTAACTTGTAGTTTATACATTTCTCACTGAAGTTGTTTTTGTATCAGACCCGGGAGGTTGACTGATGGCCCGTATACTTCATATGATCTCAATACTCTACTCAGAGCTACAGCGGGTGAGCGCCGTGCTGTCCTCATAGACCAAGGTATGCTAAGGTGCCAACTTTGAGGCCTTATGTTACTGTAACAAGGGTAAATCTGTTGATGATTTCTGGGATTGTGACTAGGGGATAAGCTTGTTGGAGAAGCAAGCAGACTTGTAGTTGCCGAGGCTTGTATACAATCACTGGATATTGATTTCACAGAAGGGGAGATTTTTGAAATTAATTCTGTTCAGGTACTTAAATAATTTAACCTTTATTCTCATTTGTCATAGATGATTCATATTGTCGTTGTGCATTTTTTTCCACGATAATGTATATACTAACAAGTTAGGCATTAGCAAGGGCGCTACAATCTTTTTATACGGTGTTAGTTATACACCTAATTCGTATTTTTTTTCACTTGTCTTGACTCTTTTTCCACCTGGAGCTCAAGATTGTTTCATATTTTCGGTTGTGGATGTTGTATTCTGTAGGGAGATGGACCAGGAAGTGATCCGCAGAAGTGGAAAGAGCTGTTTGACGCTGCTCGAACCAAATAACAAGGCCTATACTGCTTAACTTGCAAGGCTGATATACTAATTCAATTCCTGTGCTGAATTACCTTCTGTTTCCCTATACTGTTGTGCACTTGTGCTTGTGCTGTATAGTAAATAGATCACATTCATGCATATTTATAGTGAGAAAATGCAAATTTGGGAAGATGAAAAGTGAGGAATGATTCTTTCCTATCACTTCTTTTCCTTTCCTTTCCTCTGCCTCCATCATAAAGCAAACATAAGAAACTTATTCAATTCCTTTCTAATGATTCCATCCATTTATTGCTACCAAGTAAAAGTTTTCAAAACTTGAATTATGAATACATTTTGTGGTTTCCGGAGAAGAGAAGCGGAGTTTATATACAATCCAGAAGACCCGTGCACAGCACGACCCAACCATTTGCACGCGTACGTGCTAGAGGGATACCTCTAGTTCTAATCAAGGCTTGCAAGGGGCTTGGCATGTATAGAGTATGTAAAGGCCTTTTATTTTGTCTATGTGGGACATTTGGTTATTTTGAAGCAACTCTATACTTGGAATTTTATTAAGGTATGTTACTATAGTGGAAGACCAAACTTCAACAATTGTCTCAAACACAGATTGACCTTGATATTGATCTTGTTATTGCGGAATGTATGTATGTTACTGGGTAGAAATCCTTTAATGGTAATATGCCTTGTTGTTTTATTAGGGTCGGTAATAGGTGTTGCGGGGCGGATACATATCCACCAAAATTTTTTTGTACCCAACAATTATGGAGAATACACACTCAATATTCACATTCGTCGAAACGAGCATAAATCTAAATTCACACCTGCTTCGCCACCCAAGTATATATCCATTACGGAGTACTTGCCTATTAATCATCGATGGAAGGCGGAAATCAAGTAGGTAGATATCGAATGGGAGAGCGAGTGCATGACAAATGTTTATGGGTTAGATACGAATTCAACTTTACCACTTCTCAATGTGGGAATGACTTTGATATTCCATATCCTTGCGTCGATGCCCAACAAAGTACCAAAGTCATACATATACTGGCTCCAACTGAGGCTGATGCTTCCCAAAATTACATCTGACTACTATCCTCATCCTCTACGTACAATTGAAAAAAAAAAAAACAGAGAATGGTAATTTTAACACTAGGTGAATTTAAGTTATAGCGTTGTAATTTGAATATGCATGAGTTTTGAGGTAATATGAAAAAATGATAGGTTAGGATTCTTGGAAAGGTGATCGACTTATTTTCATTTAATTTGAAATTTGACATAAACACAAAGCTTATTACGTAACTTGACCCAAATAGTCAAACAAATTAAAATTAACTATCAAGATGAATTTTAATTTGTACTAACTTAGCTTGAAAAAATCCAATCGATCGAATATCCACTCAATATCAAAACAAAATGATGTGTGGGCCTATTCTCATCCAGTATCAAAATTATATACCTACTTGATTACTACAAAACTACCTCTACTTAAACTAGAACTTATGTGACAATAATATCGATTGTTTGACTATTTGTATCATGCACATAATGAAATACAAATACGTAATACTAGTATATATGTTCTTAGAATGAGAAATTCCATGTACAATTTTACTTAATTACTCTCTCTGTTTTTTTTTTTTTTTTTTTTTTTTTTTTAGAGTTGGATTTGAGACACAACTTTGACCATTAATATCTTAAATTAGAGGTTAGTAAAAATTATGAAAAAAATAATTTATAAAAGTAGACATTATGACAAATCCAACAACATATTATATGATCATATTTATATATTATATATTGGTAAAAAAATTAAGTCAATGATGACCTATGAATAGTGAAATTTTCCAACTTTAGCTTATAAAAAAAACGGAGGGAGTACATATGTTTTTTGATTCGAAAGAGGAACAATAAAATTCCAGCAAGAAAGAAAAAACAAAGCAGAAAGAAAAAACAAACTAAAGCAAAAACATCAAAAACCCACCCCAACTACTTCTACTCCTAACCTAAGGCGAGACTAGGCGAGGGAGAGCCACTCACCTAGCATCCTCCTCAAGAATCCTACCAAGCTCTATTGGAACAAAGTTTACAATATTAAGTTGTACGTCTTGAATGACGTCGCACTTGGCCAACCAATCCGCCGCTCGATTTACTTCACGATACACATGAGCTACTACCACTTTCCATCTATCATCAGCAATTTTTAAGGGAGTACATATGTAAAATAAGTAAATAACCCATTGTAACTTAGACATTCTACTTGTCTCTTTTTATCAAGTAGGCACCTCATCACAAAGAAAGATAAAAACAAGTGTAGTTACTCTAATGTGTTGTACCATATTCAAAAACCTAATTAATAAGTCAACCAAACTTTCAATCTCAACCCTCCCCAAAAACACAAAGAACTTCAAAACACTTCATTAGGTCATCACCACGTGTGATCATCCATTTTAACACTCATAAATCTATCCCCTTTGACCCCTACCTCACACTTAATTAACTTCATTGACCAAAAAAAAAAAAAAAAACCCACTAATTTCATTAACCCTCCCAATACAAAAATAAACACCCAACAAACACTCAAAGTCTAGTTCTTGTTTTTTTTTGAAACAAATTCTTCTTATGTTCATTTTTTTTACAATGAAACCATTTTTTTTTTAAAATAATAAAAAATAAAAACACAAGAAAAACACTCAAAGCCTAATTTTTTATTATTTTACTTTGATATAATCAAAATATTAAATATTATATTAAAAAAAATAACCCAACAAAAATACAAAGCCTAAAAAGTTTTATTATTTCACATTTTAACAACCAAAATAAAAATTAAAAATGCTGTAAAAAAAAAAAAACAACAAAACACTCAAAAGCCTAATTTATTTCAATTTACTTTTTAACAATCAAAATAAATAAAAAAAAATTAATTCCCCTCATTTATTTTAATTTTCACCACTACAAAAAAAAATTTCCCTAATTATATCTCACTTTCTCTCTCCTCAAAAACACCTTTCTCTCTCCTCACAAAAACCCAAACCAACCCTATCATCCTCCTCTCTTTTTACCCTTTCCACCGGGAAACCGCCTTTCTCTCTCCTCTTTTACGGCGGCGATCGTTTCTCCGATTACACTCTCCGTTTTCACAGTATATTTTTTCCGTATTAAACAAGTATATAATATTTTTCCGATTTCCCAAAAAACCCAACAAAAATTAAGGAGAAAAAAATATAATTTTGTTTTTTTTTGAAATAGTAGTCCCTCCTTTTTTTGATTTTCCGGCCAATTTTCCGACGGGTTTTCGAGAAATTGTGCGCGCGATTATTTAACCGGCGCATTATTTTCTCTTTGATTTTCATTAATACTTCAATTGGGCTTCGATTTTTGCAGGTATGGTGGATTTGATTAGTGGGTAGTGAATTGTTTTTGAATTAGGGATTGATTTAGGGTTTTTGGTGTTGGATTTTGGGTCTAGATTCGATTATTAGGGTTTGTTTGTTTAGGGAGTTTGTTAAGTGTTTAGCTCGTTTTGTTTGAAGTGTTCAGTGGCCGATCCATTGTTTGCCTATTTTAATTTGTGTTTGATTGAATTTGGATTTGATTGATTGTTTTGGTATTTGGGGTTGATTTAGGTTTAGTTTGTGATCAATTGGACGTTGAATTTCAATTTTTTGTGCGGTGTGCTAGATATTAACTGTATTCTTGGGTCTTTGTCTAATCATTGCATTTGCTTTAAACATTTCTGGAAGTTTGATTTAGTCATCAAAAAATTTGTTTTTTTTGTTGCATTATTGTCTGTTTGTGTTGTCGTCGAGCTTGCTCTGCTTGGTTTCTCGGACAGTGATTATGGTTGATCACTCAGAGTTAAGGAAAAAACGGGTTTTAATGATAGTCAAAGTCGCCACATATCGAGTCAAATGCCACCATTCTGCAAAGGTTTCTCATAAAATTCAGCTGATGTCCCGTGTTAGTCGACTCTGGTCTCTTCATTCACTCGTCTTACATTAGTTTTACCGACTTTGTACTGCTGTTCTTCGGAGCTCTTACTAGATGCTTGCTTTAGTTTGGCACATGCAATATGAGGATTTTTTTGCTTCATCTGATTGTTTTTTTTTGTTCTTGTGTATTCCTAGGAATTCATTAGGTTAGCAGAGCTTTTGGAATTAAGCTGGTAGCTAATCTGTAGATTATAATATTACAATTCCATGATAGAGGATGGCATTTTTTAGGGATTATTCGAGTGAGGCAGTCACCCACAGAGCCATGGAGGACAAGAATGCTAGTCGCACTGTGAATAGAGTACACAACTCGATAGACATAGATTTGAATTCAAGTGAAAATGACTTTGAAATGAAGATTGATGGACACTATCAAAGTGATGTTGAACCGGATGCTAGCAGACTACCTAATGAGGTGGCTGTCAATGGTGGTGCTGATATGGAACCATCAACTTCTCATACATATGAGAGAAGAAGTAGAGGTTCAGCTGAGAAATGGGGGTCTACTTTCTGGAAAAGCAGTCAGCCAGTTGTTACTCATGATATTTCGGACTCTGGTCATGAATCTAGAAGTGGCTCTGAGTATAAAAATGATGAAGGTTCTGAAGGTAATTCGTTTGGTGGGGAAGACAGATTAGAATTAGAGGAATATGAAGGGCAGAAGGAAACAGAAAAGGTTCCTGCAGACGAGATGTTGTCCGATGAGTATTACGAGCAAGATGGGGATGATCAGAATGATTCATTGCAATATAGAGGTTATAATGCTGCTACGTCCAATCCAAGACCTCAATCAAGGACTATTATGCCAGCTAATGCAAATCCACGAAATCGGAGGAGAGCTTATGATAATGATGAATATGCAGAGGTGGAAGATGATGAAGATGATGATGAAGCAGATGGTTAGTCAATTATTTTTCTTCTATGGGTTTTCCTTATGAAAAGCATTGGTCATACTACAAATATATGTTAGGAAATCACTCCTATTACTTTTCTTCTAGCTGTTTATAGAGGTGCCAGAATTTGGAATATCGTGCTTTAGAATTTGCACTTCTTTGGCATTGAAAGTTTCCTTTCACAATTCTTGCAGAGGATGACCCTGATGATATTGATTTTGAGCCTGATGGAGTTGCTGACGACCGGACAAGGACGAAGGTTGTCTTATGCAAATTTTTAATGTCGAAGACTTTTTATCTGTTTTTATTTATTGTGTTTTATGCTTCAGCTTTATTAGCGTACCTTGTTAAATGTTACCGTGTGAATACCTTCAGGACGATGATTGGGAAATTGAAGATTCAGAAGTAGAGGTTGAAAGTGAAGGGGAGGTTGATGTTTCTTCTGACGATGATTCATACTATAAGAAAAAACCTAGGGGTGGTCAGCGAGTTAAAAGTGGAGGAAATGCAAAGGCTAGCAAGGGGCAGAGATCGCTCTCTGCCCCTACTCGAAGAAGAAAAGGTAGGGTATCAGATGATGAATTATCTGCTGAGGATTCTGAGGATGTCAGTGATGAGAATTTTAGGACAAGGAGAGGTGCTCATCTCCGCAAAAATAGCAACTTGGGACGAAAAAATGAGGCACGC